AGTAGGATAGTCTAATTTGTTATCAATGTCAACTAGAATACATTTATTTAAGATCCAGTGGATTCAGATTCAAACTCATAAGTCAATATTATCAACCAGATTGAGATTTAGTTTGGCAGCTAGATTCTGGCTAAATCTGCATCCAATCTGACATTCTAACAATTGTGAAAGTCAGAAAAGTTGATGTTCTCCATTGTTCATGAACCATGAGATGTGAAGTTTGGTTTTCATCTGGCTAATGCAACTTGTAATTTCCATGGGCTTTAAATTTTATTATGCTTGAATAATTAGAAAGGAAGAGTAAGGAAATGCTATAATCAGAATGACAGAAAAGAAAGGGAAAAAAAATGTATATTTGGCAATAATGAGAGAAAATAAATGAAATAAATTTTATGTGAGACAGAAAAGAAAGGGAAAAAAAATGTATATTTGGCAATAATGAGAGAAAATAAATGAAATAAATTTTATGTGAGTAGAAGTGAAAATAAGAAATTTACTTATTACAAGAAAAATATAGAGACAGAAAGGTTTATATCATTAACTTTCTTATCCTTTCATTCCATTTCCTCTCACTTTGGAAATTTCCGAGGAACAAGCGTCTTCACTTCCTCCCTCTTCCTCTCCACTTTCTAATCAGTAATTTATATGTAAGCTTTTCCTTCATTTCCCTTTTTTCTTTCCCCCCACACCTGAATCCAAATACATAAAAAATAATCCAAGCGATTTATTGTTAATACTAACTTCTTTATTTATTTAGATTTAGAGGTTGGATTCTTAGTGTTGGCCATAAAGAGAAAACAGAAAAGGAAAAAATAAAAAATAAAAAAAAATAAGAAAGGTCTGATGCATAGGTACATAATTATATTAATATTTATGTCCCTGGGAAAGAGAAAGAATGGCATATTCAGTGCAAGTCCCTAGTAAATAATTCCAAATATTTCTTTTCCACATTCACTTGGTTATAAAATAGTATTAGTTATCAGATTTGAGAGCCAGTTTAGGTTTTGACAGGTACTTAGGCTAACAAAAAAATTTTAAATTCAGTTTCTAAATGAGAAGGTCAATCCAAAGAACAATGTGCACCCCTGATGGAGCACTGAAGGGGATTTGACTCCTTGGGTTTTGGATTTTGGATTTTGGAACCTAGATTGTATAGGTCCCATCTATGCAATCAAAACTTTAGGAAAAACTATCTAAGCAGGAGTTATTTTTTAACACAAACTCGTTGTTTGAGACAATTTATTAAGTTCTGAGAGTAAAAAAAAAAAAAAAAAATAGAGTTAATTGTGGTTAAAATTATTATACTATTCATCCACTAGTATTCAATGAAGCTATAAACCATTATAGGAATACTGTCATCTGTTTTCATTCTGTTTGATACTTGTTCTGTGATTGGTATGATCGAATTCAAAATATGTGATGATTTTCAGCAAGCTACATGGATAGGATTGGATTAATTCAGTTATGCCACTGGGAACTCAACAGAAAGGAAACGCGAAATCGTCATCAAGCTAGCAGAAAACCAGCCAACATTGTAAAAGAAGAGAAATGATTCAGAATGCTCATCTTATTGTTATGGGCATCTAAAAGCAAAGAAGCAGCCAAAATAATGTAACAACTACCATTTTTGCCATGAACTAGATATCCCTTCATCAACAGTCACCAAAGTACTATATATACCTGTCTAAGCCATCCTCAAAACCATCAAGAGAAGTTCATATATAGAAATACAAGTCCAAATTCTAAAACAAATTTAGTTTCTCTTTAAAGGAAAGATGAAAGGAGTAGTCATTTCAGTGATGGTTGTGCTAGCTATGGTTCACTTCATGGTGAAGCCAGGAGAGGCCATCTCTTGTGGTCAAGTGGATGCATCTTTGGCCCCATGTGTTCCTTACCTCACCAATGGTGGCACTCCTACAACTGAATGCTGTAATGGAGTGAAAAGTATAAAAGGAATGGCTACAACCCCAGTGGCCAAGAAAACAACATGCATTTGCGTCAAGGATGCTGCTAATCGCTATTCCAACTTAAAGGATGATGCAGCCCAAGCCCTCCCTGCAAAGTGCAATGTTCAAATGGATATTCCCATCTCTCGAACCACCAACTGTGACTTGTAAGTTTGTTGGTTTGTGTTTTTTTCCTTTTAAACATTATTGTTTACCTTAAGTAGGTAGCTTGTTAATGCTAATTCTTTTTCTTATCTTCACAGCATCAACTAAGGTGGAAGGCATCACACAAGAAATAAAGAAATTGGAAAGTTTCAGGTGTCAGAGTCAAGTTTATTATATCAAAATGTATTATGTTGTTAAAATAATGGTTCTGTTGATGAAGCCTAGCTTTGTAATACAGAAAGCTTATCGAGCTTTTTGAGACTTGTTATGTGTACCAAGTGAGATTATCCAGTTAAATTTATAAAATTACTTGAAAGTTAGATTATTTCCACCATCTTCTCTTTCAACTGTTTTCCTATTTATTATGACCTACATGGCTAATGAGTAACATATTTGGTTGGAATAAACAGTGTGCAATTCCATTGTATCACGTGAGCTTAAGCAAGCTACTCATTTAGTTAGACTGCTTCACACCTTATTCTCTCAGTTGGCATTCCCTCTAATGCGATCCAAATGGATATTGAGATTCATATTTGGTTTGCAAAGACGTGCTTGTTCTTGGGATGCCCATTCTATATTTCTCAAACCGATTGAGACATCTTGGCCAAATTCATTTGTTGTTTACTTAAAATATTTATGGCCTTAAGCGAGCTCTAATAGCCCGATTTAACTATTTTAGTGCAGCTGTATCACTTCAATGCTTCAACAACACCCATGCCAATTCATCTCTCTTCATTTGCCAATTGTTTGTTTTGTAAATATTCTTGTCTGCATAGATGACATTATAATTAGGCATCACAAACCTTATTCAGCAAATATGTGCTGAATCTGATATGCAATCTTTGGTCAAATTTATCATTATCTGTGAATGAGAAAGTATGAAGCGACCTATTGGCAAAGGACAGTATGATGGGAGCTAAAGCTGTTTTGACTCCATTCATAACCACATTTGTGATTTGTCAACTCTTGCTGTCTCCAACCAGTGTTTATTTACAAGTTGTTAAACAAGTACTCTGGTTCTCAACGGCACACTTAGCTTTGGCCTCCATTTTCATTTTGCTCCATATTTTTATTTACTTATTACTCTGGTGCCAATTAGGATGGACAAAAAGATGTTTAATGATATACCTTACCATCTACTCTGATAAATTCCTTACTGTCTACTTTGATATAACTTTACTTTTACTCTGGTGCCAATATTGTTTCTATATGTCTATGCAGGAGCACAATAAAGTGTCTGCCTTATGGCTTCACATTCACATTCCTAATATCTACACCACTTAGTGTTTTTTTTTTCACAGATCCAATCTAACATATCGAAGTTGACTATCACTTTGTGCTTGAAGGTCCTGCCTGCGGGCCTCTTCAAGTTCCATATGTTTCAAGTCACTCTTAATCGAATGATAGCTTTACGAAAAGCTTGCCTTCCCATAATTTCCAGTGGCTAGAGACAAAGGCTCCATCTCTGCCTCTTGCTTGAATGATATTATAGAGAAAGGAGAGGGAAGTATATATGGAAATAACCTGGCCTCTTGCTTGAATGATATTATAGAGAAAAAAGAAAGGAATGATATGATAACACCCTCTCTTGTTCAAGAACGAATGATGTGAAAAAAATAAAAGTTGTTTTCTGTGATTGGAAGTGATAAAAGAAGAAATTTACTTATTATAAGAAAAATATATAGAAAGAAAAGATAATCATTAACTTTTTTATCCTTTCACTACATTTCATCTCATTTTGGAAATTTTTGAGGAACAAGCTTCTTCATTCCCTCTATCTCCCTCTTCACTATCTAATATTTAAGCTTTCATTTCATTTCCCTTTTTTATTTCCCACCAAACACCTGAATCCAGGCATACTTTTTAGAGATAGATTGTTAATACTTCTTTTTAAATTTATATTTAAGGGTTGGATTTTAAAATAAAGAGAAAACAGAAAAAAAAAAAAAAAAAAAAAAAAAGGTCTATCTGATGCCTAGATACATAATTGTAGCAATATTTTTGTCCCTGGAAAAGAAAGGATTGCATATTCTGTGCAAGGCCCTGGCCCCTAGTATATAATCCCAAAAACTTCTTTCCCACACGCACCGGGTTATCAAATTTAAAAGCCAGTTTAGGCTTTGACAGGTGCGTAGACTTGCTAAAAAAATCAAATTCAGTTTCTAAATCAGAATCAACATCAGTCCAAAAAACGATGTGAACCCTTGTGGAGCACTTAAGGAATTTGACTCGGCGGGTTTGGAACCAGGATCTTATAGGTCCCATTTAGTCAATTAAAACTTCAAGAAAAACCATCTAAGCAGCAGTTATTTTTTAACACAAACTCTTTGTTAAGCAGCAGTTATTTTTTAACACAAGCTCTTTGTTTGAGACAATTTAGTAAGTTCTGAAAGTCAGAAAAAAAATATTGATTGTGGTTAAAATTATTATATTATTCATCCACTAGTAGTCAATGAAGCTTTAAACCATTACAGGAATGCTGTTACCTGTCTTCAATCTGTTTAATACATGTTCTGTGATTGGTATGAATTCAGGTGATGTGATGATTTTCCAAAAGGAAGATGGATAGGGTTGGATTCAGCTACCCCACTAGGAACTCAACAGAAAGGAAGCGTGAAATCGTCACCAAGCTAGCAGAAAACCATCCAACACTGTAAAAGAAGAGAAATGATTCAAAATGCTTATCTTATTGTTATGAACATCTACAAGCAAAGAAGCAGCCAAAATAATGTAACAACTACCATTTATGCCATGATCTACATATCCCTTCATCAACAATCTCCAAAGGACTATATAAAACTGTCTAAGCATCCCTCAAACCCATCAAGAAAGTTCATAGATATACAAGCCTAAATTCAAAAACAAAGTTAGTGTCTCTTTCAAGGAAAGATGAAAGGAGTAGTCATTTCAGTGATGGTTGTGCTAGCTATGGTTCACTTCATGGTGAAGCCAGGAGAGGCCATCTCTTGTGGTCAAGTGGATGCATCTTTGGCACCATGTGTTCCTTACCTCACTAATGGCGGCACTCCTACAACTGAATGCTGTAATGGAGTGAAAAGCATAAAAGGGATGGCTACAACCCCAGTGGCCAAGAGAACAACATGCAATTGCGTTAAGGGTGCTGCTAATCGCTATTCCAACTTGAAGGACGATGCAGCCCAAGCCCTCCCTGCAAAGTGCAATGTTCAAATGGATATCCCCATCTCTCGAAGCACCAACTGTGACGCGTAAGCCTTTTTTTTTTTTTCCATGTGTGTTTGTGATGCTTTTCTGACATGGTTGTTTATCTTAAGTAGGTAGCTTTGTTAAAGCTAATTCTGTTTCTTATCTTCACAGCATCAATTAAGGAGGATGGCATCCCACTAGAAATAAAGAAATGGGAGGTTTCAGGTGGCAGAGTCAAGCTTATTATATGAAACTACATTATGTTGTAAAAATAATGGTTCTGTTGATGGAGCCTAGCTTTGTAATACAGAAAGCTTCATCGAGCTTTTTGAAACTTGTTATATTGTACCAAGTGAGATCATTGGATTAAATTTATAAAATTACTTAAAAGTTCTATTACTTCCCACCATCTTCTCTTCCAACTGTTATCCTATCTATTATGACCTAAATGGCTAAAGAGTAACATATTAGGTTAGAATAAACAGTGTGCAATTCCATTGTATCATGTGAGCTTAAGCAAGCTTCGCATTTAGTTAGACTGCTTAGCACCTTCTTCTCTCAATTGTTATTCCGTCTAATGTGATCCAAATGGATATTGAGATTCATATTTGGTTAGAATCAGTAGTGCGCAAAGACATGTTCTTATTCTTGGCATGCCCATTCCGTGCTTCTCAAACCGATTGAGCCATATTGGCCAAATTCATTTGTTGTTTACATATAATACTTATTGCCTTAAGCAAGTTCTAAGAGTTTGATTTAATTATTTTAGTGCAGCTGTATCACTTCAATGCTTCAACACCACCCGTGCCAGTTCATTTATCTTCATTTGCAAATTGTTGGTTTCCTAAATATTCTTGTCTACATAGATGACATTATAATTACAGACAAAGAAAGTATAGGCCGGCATCACAAACCTTTTTCAGAAAATATGTGCTGAATCTGATATAAAAACTTTGGTCAAATTTATCATTTTCTGTGTATGAGAAAATATGAATCTGTTTTGACTCCATTCAGAACCACATTTGTGATTTGTCAATTCTTGCTGTCTCCAATTAGTGTTATTAACAAGTTGTTAAATAAGCACTCTGGTTTTCCAAGGGCACACTTAGCTTTGCCCTCCATTTTCATCCTTGCTCTCATATTCTTGTTTACTGCTTACTCTGGTGCCAGTTGGGCTGCACAAAATGATTATCGAAGACATAGCTTACCATCTACTCTAATAAATTCCTTACTGTCTACTTTGATAAACCATTACTCTTAATCTAGTGTCAATATTTGTTTCCATGTCTAGCGCGGAAGCTGAATATTGTGCTCTTGCTGTCATCACTAATGATATATAATGGATGCAAAAACCCTTTTTCTTAATTAAGTGTCTGCCTTATGGCTTCACCTTTACTTTGAATTAGGAGAGTCTAATCTGCTATTGATTTCAAACTCGAATACAATTATTTAAGATCTGCTGGATTCAGATTTAATATGGCAGCCAGTTTCTGGCTAAATCTGCACCCAATCTGACATGCGAACAATTGTGAAAGTCAGTAAAGTTGATGTTATCCATTGTTTATGAACCATGAGATGTGAACTTTGGTTTTAAGTTTGGTCATCTGGCTAATGCAACTTGTAATTTCTATGGGCTTAAAATTTTATTATGCTTCGATAATTAGAAAGGAAGAGTAAGGAAATGCTCTAATCAGTTATGAAAGAAGAAGAAGAAGAAGAAAAAAAGAAGGAAGTATATATGGCAATAACCTTGCTTCTTGCTTGGATGATTAGAGAGAAAAAAAGAATGAAAATGATATGATAATCCCCTCTTGTTCAGGAAAGAATGATGAGAGAAAAAAAATGAAAAGAATTTTATGTGAGTAGAAGTGAAAAGAAGAAATTTACTTATGATAAGAAATATATATAAACAGGAAAGCTAATCATTGTCTTTCTTGTCCTTTCATTCCATTTCCTCTCAATTTGGAAATTTCTGAGGAACAAGTCTATTCATTCCCTCCCTAATTCCTCTTGACTTCTTAATCAGTAACCAATATGTAAGCTTTCCCTTCATTTCCCTATTTTCTATCCCACCAAACACCTGAATCCAAATATCTAAAAAAAAAAAAAAACACCTGAATCCAAGATATAGATTGTTAATACTTACTTCTTTCTTTAATTAGGTTAGATTCTTAGTGTTGGTGATTAGGAGAAAATGGAAACAAAAGAAATAATAATGAAAAAGCATAGATATATAAAAGAAAGGATTGCATATTCTGTGCGAGGCCCTAGTATATAATTCCAAATATTTCTTTCCCACATGCACTGGGTTATCAAACAGTATTAGTTATCAGATTTGAAAGCCAGATTAGGCTTTGACTGGAACTTAGACTTAAAAAAAAAAAAAAAAATCAAATTCACTTTCTATATCAGAAGTTCAGAACCAAGCTCAGTTCAAAGAACAATGTGAAAACTTCAGGAAAAACCATCTAAGCAGGAGTTATTTTTTAACATGAACTCTTTGTTTGAGACAATTTTGTAAGTTCTGAAATCAGAAAACAACGTTGATTGTGGTTAAAATTATTATACCATTCAACCACTAGTAGTCAGTTAAGCTTTAAACCATTACAGCCTTTACAGGAATGCTGTTGTCTGTCTTCATTCTGTTTAATACATGTTCTGTGACTGGAATGAATTCATCTGATGTGATGATTTTCTGAGAACAATATGGATAGGGTTGGATTCGGTTAAGCCACTGGGAGCTCAACAGAAAGGAAGCACAAAATCGTCACCAAGTTAGCAGAAAACCATCCAACACTATAAAAGAAGATAAATGGTTCAAAATGCTTATCTTTTTGTTATGGACATCTAAAAGAAAAGAAGCAGCCAAAATAATGTAACAACTACCATTTATGCAATGACCTACATATCCCTTCATCAACAGTCACCAAAGTACTATATATACCTGTCCAAGCCTCACTCAAACCCATCAAGAGAAGTTCATAGAAATACAAGCCCAAATTCTAAAACAAAGTTAGTGTCTCTTTCTAGGAAAGATGAAAGGAGTAGTCATTTCAGTGATAGTTGTGCTCGCCATGGTTCAGTTTATGGTGAAGCCAGGAGAGGCCATCAGTTGTGGTCAAGTGGATGCATCTTTGGCCCCGTGTGTTCCTTACCTCACTAATGGTGGCACTCCTACAACTGAGTGCTGTAATGGAGTGAAAAGCATAAAAGGAATGTCTACAACCCCAGTGGCCAGGCGAACAACATGCAATTGCGTTAAGGATGCTGCTAATCGCTATTCCAACTTAAAGGATGATGCAGCCCAAGCCCTCCCAGCAAAGTGCAATGTTCAAATGGATATCCCCATCTCTCGAAGCACAAACTGTGACGCGTAAGGCTTTTTTCTGTTTTGCATATGTGCTTGAGATGCTTTTCTAACATTTTTGTTTTTCTTAAGTAGGTAGCTTCTTAATGCTAATTCTGTTTCTTATTTTCACAGCATCAACTAAGATGGAAGGCATCAAACAAGAAATAAAGAAATTGGGAGGTTTCAGCTGCCAGAGTCAAGCTTATTATATCAAACTACATTATGTTGTTAAAATAATGGTTTTGTTGATGGAGACTAGCTTTGTAATACAGAAAGCTTTATCGAGCTTTTGAAACTTGTTACATGTGTACGAAGTGAGATTATCGGGTTAAATTTATAAAATTACTTGAAATTTAGAGTACTACTTCCCACCTTCTTCTCTTTCATCTGTTATCCAATCTATTATGAGTCTATGACCTACATGGCTAGCGAGTAACATATTTGGTTTCAATAAATAATGTGCAGTTCTGTTGTATTATGTGAGCTTAAGCAAGTTTCAAGTTTAATATGTCTCAAATCACTCTAAATTAATTGGCTGACAGCTTCACGAAAACCCCATCATTTCCAATGGCCAGGCATCTTTCAGGATCAATCTTGACTCCAGAGGAACTGATAATAATTCACAAGTAAACTAGCTCAGTATTCAAGGGAACAAAAAAAAAAAAAAAGAAAAAAAAGAAAAAAAAAAAGGACTCTTCTAGGTATGTTCTTTCAGCTAGTGCTCACATGGAGCAAACTCATCACTTTCCCTTCTGTGGAGTTTAAGAGAGGTTGGCAATCCAATGAATGCAATCCATAGAATCAGCTCTTGATGATTCTGAATTTTTTTGAAAATACTACTAATGTTGCGTTATAATTGTTTCATTGCATTCATATCTTGTAATTGATGCAATTGCCATATATGTTGTATGTCATCCCCAAATCACTAATAACAGAATGATTGAATTCGGTAAACTACATTGCTTTTAAAAGCCTACAGCCTAGTAGTTGTTCTGGATTCCCCTCATCCTTTTATATTCTCTTCCTCCATTTCATTTATTCGTACATAATTTATTAAATTAATTTATATTAAACAATGTCTATACATATCATATTTATTCTGATTCTGTTTGAATTAGGACAGTACAAATTTATTATCCATCAACTTCATATTCGAGTACAGTTTAACATCCGATGGATTCAGATTCAAAACTCTGATCTCAATTGTAAAAATCAGATCCAGTTCCAAATCTGGCTAAATCCGCATCCAGTCTGAAGTGTTGGCAACCCCACAACTCAACAAAGTTGGTGCTCCCCCTTGTTTATAAATCATGAAATGTGTGATTTAAGTTTTTAAGTTGGTCATTTACCTAATGCAACATGTTGCATTATCTATCAGCTTATACTTTTACACTATGATTGGCTAATTAGGAAGGAATCCAAGGGAACACTAAAGGAAATGAAAATTCATACTGTGATTACCTCTTGGTTGGATCATTATTCATTAGGGTGGGAAAATAAAGAAAATGTGCAGTAACACTTCTCTATGTTTACGAATGAATGATGAGAGAAAAAAAAATAAAAATAAAAATAAATAAATAAAATAAAATTACTCACTTTCTTATCCTTTCATTCCATTTCTTCCTACTTTTGGAACGAAAGCATGACAAATGACAGTTTCTAGATTTGAACCATGCTCAACATAACACCCAATGCGTAACCCTGTTGGAGCACTCAAAGAACAATCTAACCGGTTTCATTTAGCCAATGAAAACTTCAAATGAAACCATCTAAGTTGGAGTTCTAACCATCTAGTTTTTGAACAACAAACTCTTCATTTGACCCGATTCAATAGTAAGTTCTAAAGTCTATAAAAAAAGAGTTGATTGTGGCTAAAATAATTATAATATTTATGATCAGCTAGTATTCAGTGGAAGTGGTATAAATTAAACCATGAAAAGAATGCTGCTCTCTGTCTTCATTCTGTTTTATACTCTCTGATTACCTGATTGGTATGAATTTGAGTGATATGATGACTTTCTAAAAGCAAGAGGAACAGTATTGGATCTAGTTATGGTACTTGTAACTGAGCAGAAAGAAAACGAAAAAATAATCGTCACCAAGATGGTGAAGAACTGTAAAAGAAGAAAAGTGGTTCAAAAATGCACAACCTAATTGTTATATTAGATAACCAAGGGACATCCAAAACAAAAGAAACAGCCAAAATAACGTAACAGCTTCCATTTATGCCATGACCCACATATCCATTTATCAACAATGACCAAAGTAGTTTATATACCTGTCATTCAAAGCCTCCCTCAAATCCACCAAGAAAAGTTCATAGAAACACAATATATCACAAATTCTAAAACGAAGTTTCAGGTGTCTGTCAAGAGAAGATGAAAGGAGTAGTCATATCAGCGATGCTCGTGCTAGCCATGGTTCAGTTCATGATGAAGCCGGGAGAGGCCATCTCTTGTGGTCAAGTGGATGCATCTTTGGCACCATGTGTACCTTACCTCACTAATGGTGGCACTCCTACAACTGAATGCTGCAATGGAGTGAAAAGCATAAAAGGGATGGCTACAACCCCTGTGGCCAAGCGAACAACATGCAATTGCGTTAAGGATGCTGCCAATCGCTATTCCAACTTAAAGGATGATGCAGCCCAAGCCCACCCTGCAAAGTGCAATGTTCAAATGGACATTCCTATCTCTCGAAGCACCGTCACATGTAAGTGTTTGTTTATTGGCATATAAACATAAAAGTAATATTTCTAGCTTTTCTAATGTAGTAATTATTTAATTTTTCTCTAGTGATGTGTGCCTTTGTTGACTACGAAATTTTGTTTTCTGATCTTGTCGGCATTAATTAAGATGGAGCATGGCAAAGGGAGAAGAAATAAAGCAGAGGGAATTTTTGTGCCAGCTAATGGCTTGATTGATACATAATGATGTTAAATAATGGTTCTTTTGAGAAAACTTCTGTAATAAATTTAAGCTCTAATGCTCTATCATCTTTTTGTTGTTGTGTGTGCAACTTATTGAGTTAAATATATTGAGCAAATTAATTACTACCAACTTTTAGTAATAAATTAGGCTTTGCTTGGCATTATTATGTTTTGTTGCAAAACGCCTAATATGGCAACAAATCACACTGAAAAGCATGGTTGGGTGCATTATTTCTTCTGTTTTAGTCCAATACAACCCACCACCTATGGTATATTTTTGAAAGAACAAAAACTGATGCTTCATTGTTTGGCTTTGTTGTTTTGCTTTGTGTTTTTGTTGTCAAATGGGTGCAAAATAGAAATAAACAGGGAAAGTATGTTTCCATTGCATCTGTTTTAGAAGAAGGTCTAAATTTAGAAAACAAAAATATTGATTCTGCTTAAAATGAAATTGAAGATGCAAAATAAAGACAATTGTCAAACTGAGTAGGGAGTAACTTAAACAAAAAAATTGGGTGCAAAGCTTCAATTGGCTGCAATGATACAAAGCTTCTGCCATTTCTGTATCATTTTTTTTGTGTTTCACAGGTTGTGTTAGACAGGTATGTATAGAGAGAGAGAGAGAGCAAATTCATCTCCAATAATTTTTGGCGCAAAACTAACAGTTTGGTTGTACGAGATACATTGGCACAATTAATTGAGTTGTAAAGTTAAAAATGTAATTATAAAGTCAAAGGACAAGTTGGTCAATTTTTCATAAGTCTCATGTGAGGTAAACTTTATGATGTCATTATTCAAAAAATTGTCAAGGGTATATATTACTGTCAATATTACAAATCTCAGGGGTGTTAATGTAATTTAATCCTAAAGAACTTGATTTATATGACTGAAATTAAGAGAAACAACTTAAATACCATTTTTACGCTATGTTAAACACCCCCCCCCCCCCCCCTCTCCTCTCTCTCTCTCTGCGCGCGCGCAAAGAAACCTCGTATTGGCCCTAGCTAAGGTCAATCAATTTATCTCTCGCGCACAAAGAAACCTCGTATTGGCGTCAGCTAAGGTAAGTCAACATCTCTCTCTTTATGCTGCCTTGTTGGGTTTCAAATTTTGATGTCACAGTTGTTGTCTTTTGGCTTTCCTTTAGTTGCACAAAATTTTCAGGTTATATTCATTAGTGTGTTTAATTTTGTTGCGCAGGTGATTACATACTGTCTGAATATCTGAAGTTGGCTCTTTGAAGCATTTGTGAATTTGCTGTTTTATAAATTTGTCGTTGTATATGAACGAGAACCAATTGTTTGTTAAAATGTCAAGCTGAATATATCTTCGGTTTTGCAGTTCTTCTACACTAAGACAAATAAATGCTTGTATTTTGAAAGCATATAATACTATTTGTGTCAAAATTACACAAACTATATAACAATCAATCTTGTTGTGGCATGTTCTTAAAGTCCCCTTAGAGTCTTCTTACTCAATTGCATGTTTGTGAATGAGATAGTAATTGCTTCTGAAAAAATTACAAGTCAGGCTTCATTCATTCGTTGACAGGCTATTCTTTCATGGACCGTTGGAGTGGAATTTTGAAAGCTCCACTGTACCCTAATAGCACGCCTCACTGTAGAGTTGCAGCATCTCTCTGTCTCTCATCTTCTTCCAAAACCGTCACTGTAAGTCCTCTTTAACCCCGAAAGCATCATTTTACAGTCAGTGCAATTGGGCTTGCTTCAAAATCTGAATTTTCATTTTAATAAACAATTTCTCATCACTCGAAACTTATGATTTAGTACTCTTTTGTTTCTCAATTTAACTGTGTTTTACGATTTACATTACATATGGGAAGCAGGTACCTTCAGTGAATGCTATCTTCTTCAGTGGAGATCGAGTGGAAGGGACTGGAAATCCGGTGATTGAGAGGCTATCGAATCTGGAGAGAATTGCTGAAATTCTGGTTTCGAAACTTGGTGGTTCTATAAATGCTTGGGTTATTGAGGCTTCCACTTTTAATGGGCCTTTTGCTGTTTACAAGGACTTTATCCCATCTGTAAACCACTGGGGAGAGCCAAAAGTGTACAACCCAGCTGGATTCCCAGCTTCTACATCAACCATCTCACTCTTGTCGAATTGCTTTAAAGAGGTATGTCCCTCAAGCAGTTTGGATTTTCAGTTTCTCCCTATTGATTGTGTTTTTATACCAATTGATTTAAGTAAATGAACTGGAACTCTGACTTACTTTATGTATCTGCTATTTCTTAGATTTCCGAGTACCTATATACTAGTTAGTTTACTTTTGACAAGATTTTGTGTAACGACCCGAAATTAGGGGCTATGACAAAACAAGGTTTGGAAACCGTCCAAATAAATTATCAAACCATTCTTGATCCTACTTCAACCCAAATAACCACAAACAAAATCCCGCTGCGCTACTCCGATAATTATCAACTTATACACATCACAATCATCTACAAAACAAAATATGTGCTGCCATTAGTTAAAAATTCGTAGAAAATTCATTTTAAATCGAAAATGATTTGAAAACTAGACTCAAAAGGTAATGTGACACTGCAATTCCCAACAACTTAAGCTTTGCCAATAAAATCAGTTTTTGGAAAAAATCCAGCTCTTGGGATGCGTTCCCCTTTTGAACGCTTCTTAATACATTTTACTTATCAAAAAAAAAAAAGAATGAGCTGAAAATAAAGTGCTTCGGAAACTTCATTCATTTGAAAAATATCCGGAGGTAAGAAAATTCCAATAAATTCGTTTTTAGAAACTAGACTTAGGGAAGTATAAAACTAAAAATTTTGATAAAGATCCGGTCTCAAGAAGTTGGTCAAATAATTCATGCACAATCTGTTTTCCAGCTGCGATTTAAAGATGGACAGCAGGTACTCTCGAATTTTTAGAAAAATATCTGCTGATCTAAAAATTAAGAAATTTTATGGAGAAATACTAGATGCATAAAGGAAGCTGTGGTAAAAATTTGAAAGCATTTGGATCACTGCAGCTCCTTGGAGAAATTAAATGTAATAACCCGAATTTTTATTTAGGCTTTAAGTATGATTATTTGTTAGTTTTGTGTTAATAGAGACTATATTATATTAATTTATGAGTTTTATTCATTTTGGAGATGGGTTATAAATTGAATTTGATATAAATGGTCGGAGTTTTATTTGAGATATTTTGACAATACTTAGTTAGTGGTGGTGGGAAATAGAATTTTATCAAAGTTCTTGTAGTGGATTCCATGTGGCAATTACAAGAGGAGCCTCAGTGACACATATACCTCTTCATGCAACCACATATACACATCTTAATGCCCAGCCTTACACCTGTTATTTCCCTTGTTTGTCATAAAATTATAGACACGTTTGTCCAAGCCATAGCCATATACTTGTTGGGTTGTCTTCTTAGTTGCATGCTGCCAGACGAAAGGAAAAAGAGATAGAAGCTATGGCCGTGAGAGGAAGAGAGGGCTGGACTTGGACTTTAGGATTTTAATCTTCTCATGTTCTTCATCCATGTTGTGTGTTATTTTATTTCATACTTTCCATGCTTTACTCTTTCAAGTCTTTCAAGTCCTCTACCAGATTTTCCATAAATTGAAATTGGTTCTCTTGTTGTCATGTGCTGAGATTTGGATTCCTTGTTGAACGTGTCATGGGTTGTTCGATGTTTCAATTATCACAAGAGGGACATGCTTCACATAATTAAATCATATGGATTTCCATGTAAGAGAGAATGCTTCAAATAAATAGATCATAAAGCTTAGAACAATCATGTATGAATCCAAATCTCATTTTCTTTCTTTTTTTCGCGCTGTATAAACCCAAATAGCTGCCAATTTTATGCATTTTTTGCACACAATAGTATTTGATTTCCATATTTGTCAATATGGCAGGTGAAACAAATCATTTCAGGGAGTCAGAAAGAACAATACCAAACTGGAGTGTCTGCGTCATGTTTGTGTACACCCAAAACGTTCATTTTTGGATTTAGCAAGGGTGGCACTGTACTCAACCAGCTAATGACTGAGCTTAGCATTTCTGAAATCAAATCCACTGAAAATCCAATTAATGCAAGTGAACAGCTATTCAGTGGAGGTCCTGTTAATGGCCAGGAAGAGAACCCAATAGTACCTAGTTCAGTTGACGGCTTCTTAAACAGCATAGCTGAGATCCATTACGTGGATGTTGGCTTGAACTCCACTGGAGCATATCTCACTGACAGTGATGTGATTGAGAGGATCTCCAAGCGCCTCATGGAAGGAGAGGGTGGAATACGTGTTGTCCTTCATGGGACTCCTAGACAATGGTGTGACAGCAGGCGGGTTTTGATTCGAAATGAGAAGGACAAACTGGTTCAGCTGCTTGAATCGGGAGCTCAGAGGAGTGGGGGGAAATTACACGTTTGTGAGAGATTCTACTTTGCTGATAAGCCTCCTAGTCTGCAAATGCACTTCGAAATTATTGAAAATTTAAATGTGCATTGAGTGCTTTAATTCTGATGTAAATAAGAGAATTAAAAGGAAAACACTGTGATATTTTCACAGTTGTAGCTATTGTTGTGTACATGAGTTATTCAATTTTGTGGATTGTTAATAATTTTGTTAATTAATTGTTACATAATCATAAATCTACTTTAACCTTAGAATGGCAATATAAATTGCTGTTGCTATTTTCTTGTAAAAATTTGGGTAACAATTATTCATAGAAACACATGCTTTGATAACTGCTTTGACAATAATCACATAAAAAAAATGCTAGTACTTCGCAAGCCGTACTAAGCTGTCCTTTCTAAAATTAATAATGGTATTGAGCTTTATGAAAATGTAGATTAAGACAGACAAATCATCATGGCTTACAAAATGGAACAAGAATGGATTTGGAATAAAAATATTAATGATTTCTTGATTTTTTTTTATTATTTATTTATATAAAATTTAGAATGTTGACACCATTCTGATTGGTTTTATGGATTTGGAATCTCCCATTTTTGTTTTTTTGGCAGTCATGAGATATAAATCAAGTATACATGTCCAAATTCTTAACGGTGGACTCAAATTCTTCTGTACTTGGACCAAATATAAACAGAAAAGACAAATTATGGATAGAATTTTTAATTTTTAATTTTTAAAATTTATTTAATTATTTGTGAAACAAAGGGTTATTCCATAGATATTCTTTTGTAAATTTTGAGTAGCCTTTGACAATTTAATCATAAATTCCAAAGCGAACAAAAAATAGATCCAAAGCTTTAACTTCATTTGGCTCAACTCGTACCTAATTTTATGTTTGTAAAAATTTGGTGGAAATTCTTTATTTTATTGTTTTGTTTTATTTTTCCGAGACACTCCTTGTTTAGCATTTAGCAACAGGCAACAGCTAAGTTATTTTTTAATTAATAGGGCCACTAATGTGAAGGCTAATTTTATAAATCAGTTTGACTAATTCCATGACAGGATTATTAATTATCGTTATTTAAGCTAATAAAAAAAAGAAAGAAAATGGTGTATTAAAAAAGGAAATAAAAAAAAAAAAAAACAGCTAAAATTCATTTAGCAGTACCCAGGTTAGGTTCAATGTGTGACTGCCCAATGATTATTAGCACGAAGACAACAGTAGACTTGTATTTTTTTGAATATTTTATATTCATGTTAATTGAACAAGGTCTTAACATTGTTTTATTTTATATTCCAATGTAATTAAACAAAGTCTTAAACTTTCTTTAACAAAAAGTCCATTTGGAAAGTACAAATGGTCATCATTTGGTTGGTTAAGCAAATAAAAATAAATTTAAAAAAAACAAAAAAAGTAAAGAAAATAACCCCAACAGACTTTAATTAAGTTGATCTCAGTCAACTAATCAATGGAGCTAGGACTACCAGTGCAAAATACTAGCAAATTGGTAGAAGACATGTGGAAAGGCATGTGAGGAAAGTGTTGGTACAACCGTACAAAGTCAACAATTTGGCCGGCATGTTCAAAAGCTTACAGATGACCTATCAAGGCACACTGTCTCTCACAAGCACTCTTTTCCTAAAAACACTATATATATCTATATATATATATATATGAACTTAAATTAGAGTAGGGTTTTAAACATAGACTTAAAAATTTTCCAGCGCTGTATACTATGATGTGCGAATGCAATGCGTCTGTTATTTTGTATTTTGAATTTTATAATGATAAAATTTCACCAAGTTTTACGAAATACTTAAAAAAAAAAAAAAAAAAAAAAAATAGAAGGTGTTCTAAAGAGAATTTTGATTCAAAATACAACTATAAATATGCTTACAAAAAAACACAACTAAGGCGGGAAAAAATCATTTTGCTGTGTAGATTGTAAGGATAAAATAACAATGATAGAGCGATTCTTAATTTACTACAATAACATAGACTTGAATTTCTTAAATATTTCTCAATGTATTTCGATTGCGCACATTCAATAATGTACAAAAATGTTACGTCAGCCAATTATTAAAACTATACTTCAAATTTTGTCATGATAAAATTTCTCCAATTTTTTTAATTGACAAAAAAGTGTTCTAAAAGCGAATTTTAATTCTTTTCTTTGCTTAGTAGATGCAAAGGACAAAATGGAAAAAATAGAGCCATTAGTAAGTTACTACAATGGCCCTTCTAGAGCAGGCCAAGATTACCAAATAAAAGGGTAGTTTCGTCATTTAAAACACAATTCAAATTTTATATAGGCTGCGTTGTGTACGATGTGGGTGTCGTTTAATCCAAAGGTAGTTGCTATATTACACAGCGGCAAAGTAACAAACATTTGAACCTCATATTATTTTATAGTTTATATTCACTCACTCATGCTTTGGCCGGCGATTCCAACCAGGCCTACTGCGTCGTCCTGTTCCAGATGGAACTTTTGCATTCATCGATGCCGACGCCTACCATACTCCTCTCTCTCTCTCTCTTTGTGTGTGTGTTATTATTTAATTGGTTTGATTCTCTATATATTTCCATCTTGTTCTTGATTGGTTGCATTACATGGTTATATACATTCATTTAGTGCCATTCCTTGAAAAGTACACTCTCCCTCTTCTCCATCTTCACCACAAAGATTCTTTTCTTTTCTTTTCCACCCATTTCCATTGCACCAAACTGGGCCTTAGGGTTTGGGGATTGAATTAATGAGCGAGCTATAGAAATTTCAAGGTATCTTTTTGTTGAATAATTGAATAATTAATGGCATTACATATATCTTTATGGGCTCTAATTTTGCTTGGCTTTATTAGGCATATGTAGATTCCATGATCATTTCAAAATTTTCACTTTAAAATTCTATTTCTTTTTATTCTTTTTTGGATCTCTGAGAAACTCAGTTCATTCACAAATGAGTGAATGACATCACAATTCTTATGTAGCACTCTTTTCTTTTCTTTTCTTTTTCTTTTTTTTTGGGAATTATTCGATCAGAAATGTTGATGAGAACTGCTAGACACTGAATACACAAACATATATATATGAAATACAACATTGCACTATAATTTCCTTATTATTTTTTTTTTTTAGACTGTGAATTCATATAAAGTGTTTGAACATGCAGATTCTTTACAAGTTGTAAGGAGTTGAAGTGGAAAGAGATTTCAAAATGGACGAGAAGTCGATTGCCCTTGATGCTGTTATTAAGGAAGCTGTTGATCTGGTATGTGCTTACTACTATTATGCTTGTAAATGTGGTTTCAATAAAACACAAAATATAATTGAGTTTTGTTGTTTAGTTTTAATAATGTTGTCTATATGCTTTATCCACATATTGCTCCTATATTTCTTGTGAATTCTTTCTTGATCACTATTATAACTATGAGAATTAGAAAGTGTAATTGACTGCAACGTTAGATCTACAAGTTCCACAAATGGATATGACTTTATTATACAACATAAAAAAATTCTGGTTTTACCCCAAAAAAAATGATAAAGAAGTTACGATGAGTTGTTTTTTTAAAATTTGTAATGAAATGTGCCAATTGGTCCCCAAAGAAAGAAGAAAGAAAGAAGGGGAGATGGAAATAAAATAATAAACATGAACTTAAAGAATACGAAATTTTTATTTATGCATTCTCTTTTTAGGCTCTATACCTTTTTGATGAAATGGAATTTGCTTCATGCAGGAGAACTTACCCCTTGAAGAAGTGTTTGAACATCTTAAATGCACAAGAGAAGGTTTGAGCTCTGATGGCATTCAGGAACGGTTGCAATTGTTCGGATACAATAAACTTGAAGAAAAAAAGGTTAGTGAACATCATTCTCTGTGCCACTTCTTATCTTGTCTATGATGTTCTGTTTGTACTTTTTCACTCCTCGATTCATTGTTCGTCTGTTCTATCTTCCACAGGAAAGTAAAATATTAAAATTTTTGGGCTTTATGTGGAACCCTCTGTCATGGGTCATGGAAGCAGCAGCTATCATGGCCATTGCTCTTACACAAGGAGGGGTAAATCCATATACTTTGTATTTTTATTTCATGTATCATTTCATTAAGAGCAGTGGAACTTCATAACTAAAGTCCTTGAGGTATTTTTATGTAAAATGTGGAATTGGATAAAACTGAATTTACATGCCATTAATTCAATGCTTATAAAATTCAGAGTTTGATTGCTTATAAAGTTAAGAAATTTTGGGAATGCTTAATGTTGACAAACCCTGTCTTGTGCAGAAAAAGAAACCAGACTATCATGACTTTGCTGGCATCTTGATCTTACTCATGATCAATTCTACCATCAGTTTTATAGAGGAAAACAACGCTGGCAATGCGGCTGCTGCTCTTATGGCGCGGTTGGCTCCAAAAGCCAAGGTCTCTCTCTCCAGATCAGTTCACAAAAAATAACATTGCAGATATATCTTATTAATTATTACTATTTTATTCATTATAGAACATAATCTCTTGTTGCCACCCTTTTTTTTTTTTTTTGGACTGTTTAATGATACCTGCCAGGTATTGCGAAATGGAAAATGGAGCGAGGAAGATGCTGCAGTGTTGGTTCCTGGTGACATAATTAGTATCAAACTTGGAGACATTATTCCTGCTGATGCACGTCTTTTAGAAGGAGATCCGCTAAAGATTGATCAGGTTTTTAATTCACTATAGATTATGAGTAATCATTTTATAAATACACATAGAGTTAGATTTTTCTGCTCATCAGTCAGTTTTAAAACCAGAGCTTTGTGCAGCTTGGCTCTGGATCATGAATTCTGAATGGGTATTGCTTGATTAGCACTTTCCATGGGTTGGTTGACGAGTAAAACTCACAAATCATATGTTGTAAAAAACGGTAGAAAGTAATTCTACATCCGATAAATTCAATTTCAATGACATAGAGGTTGTTCAACTGATCTGAAGTTTCACATCTCAGTTCAGGATTTTTGAATCAAATAAGATTGCATTGAGGGGCCAGGGAGCCTGAGTTGAGCTCGAGTTGAGAGATGTTTCTCTCATTGGCAACACTTCTCCTTGAAAGCCCCCTTTCTGATTCACACGAAAATTCATCCTTCTCACTTGTCTTCACCTCACTCTCTAATGACTCCACCTTCAAGGTGATAAAATTCTGATCACAAAAGTGCAGTAATTTATGATTCAAAACCAACTGGGACCTGCTTTCAACTCAGAACAATTATGTGAGCATTTAAGTCATGAAAGCGTGTAAATGTGGTTATGAAGATACGCCACTGATCCACGTGAGTTCAGTAGGAATGTTTTTGCTAATTGAAAATGTCAAAGGATTTCTATCTGATTATGGAATTTAGAGTCCCTTATAAGGAAGAACCAATTTATGATTGTGACTGCATGAATTTAAGCTAGCGGAGAAATGGATTGGTTCCCTTACATATTTAAGATTTTAAAACTGCAAGTGTGAATGATTTGAATGCTTTTAATGTGCATCTGAAAGTGATATTTAATTGTATACCTGGCTAGAAATTTTGCTTATAACTAGTAGATATTGTAGGTAAATTATTTTATAACTGATTAGTCCAGCTAGGTATCTTACTTGAGATCAAATTGCGTGGGAGTTGCATTCAATTATTTTTGTACAGAAACCAGCTATTCTTTTCACTGTTTGTTACATTTTTACCACTATGAAAAGACAGTACTATTAATTTATTATTGTGGATCTAACATTTTTCATCATCATTTGCAGTCTGCTCTTACTGGAGAATCACTCCCAGTTACCAAGCACCCTGGTGAGGGAGTATACTCAGGTTCAACATGTAAGCAAGGTGAAATCGAAGCAGTAGTTATTGCAACCGGTGTTCACACTTTCTTTGGGAAAGCGGCTCATCTAGTGGAAAATACCACACATGTTGGGCATTTCCAAAAGGTTTCTTTCTGGACCTTCTCTATCTACATCATTATTAGTTTAAATGATGTCACTGTGATTTTATTAACTTCACATATAGGTGGATAGTTAACAATAAAGTTTTCACTCCTAATTTTCTTGATGAGTAGTAACTGTGTGATGCATGGCTACAGGTTTTAACATCAATTGGAAACTTCTGCATCTGTTCCATTGCTGTTGGAATGTTGATTGAAATTGTTGTGATATACGGGATTCATGGGAGGAAATATCGTGTTGGTATTGATAACCTTCTTGTCCTACTCATTGGTGGGATCCCCATTGCGATGCCAACTGTTCTTTCTGTTACCATGGCCATCGGGTCACACCGATTATCTCAGCAGGTTTGTGAAATCTCAGAGTCCATAAATATTGATTTGAAAATTTTCAGCGAGTTTGAAGAAATTAAATTCAGTTAGTCTCATATCTGTTAATGGATTTGAAGGTACGCGAAAGTGAAATTAATTGGATAATGGGCCCCTTTTTGCTTTTGCAGGGTGCTATAACAAAGAGAATGACTGCCATTGAGGAAATGGCTGGCATGGATGTACTATGCAGTGATAAAACAGGCACACTGACACTTAACAAGCTTACTGTGGACAAAAATATGATTGAGGTTACTCTTTCGATTCATCTATATTTCTTTAATCTGCATCAGAAGGCGTCACACTATAGTAATTAGCTTTTTGAAGTTTTAAACTGCTCTCTTAGGCATTTCTGAACAGATTTTGCATTGCACAAGAAGTATGTCCTATGTGACTCGTGTAGGTTTCTATCCAGGATATACACATTTTAAGGTAGAGAGTTACACACACTTCTTAATTCAAGTTTGGTCAATGTGTAAGCAAATTTTCCGCTACCTATCATCTTGGTAAAAAATGGACTATGGCATGTTTTAGTGGGAGAAATAAATATGATCATCGTTGATCTAACCACCTTTCCCCTCTCAAGATAGGTGGAAAAGTTCATGTATATTTCTTGATGCCATCTGATTGATCTTCCTATTGTAACTTCAGGTCAATTCTAATGTCACCCATGATGTTGCAGGTTTTTGCCAAAGGCATTGACAAGGATATGGTTGTACTAATGGCTGCAAGAGCATCAAGATTAGAGAATCAAGATGCTATTGACACAGCAATTGTTTCAATGTTGGCAGATCCAAAGGAGGTATTCAATTTTCCTTGAGCATATTTAGGTGTAGGCCATTTGTCATTATAGATCATGGATGCTATCCCTAAACAGCAATTGTAAGCTACAAAATATTTTCCTGATTCCATTCAATGTGGATGTCAAGGTTTTAGTTCTTGCCCATTTGGTGTGCTGCTATCTGCAGAAAATTGCGGAAGTTTACACCATAATTGCAATTATAGGAAAAAGAATTGCTGCAATGCCATATCTTGATTTATATGTGTGCCTGTTGAATTCTAATTACAGGATCACTGTTAGATTAATTTTTGTAGTTGTTGATCACCTTAATTCTTATTGTGAAATTTAATTGGGACTCCAGTAACATTCTTTTCTTTTCTTTTTCTTTTTTTATTCTTGATAGGCACGAGCTGGAATTACAGAAATTCATTTCCTTCCATTCAATCCAACTGACAAAAGGACAGCGCTTACGTACATAGATAAAGCTGGGAAAATGCATAGAGTGAGCAAAGGTGCACCAGAGCAGGTAGAATATCTAAATTGAAAATCTTAGAACTACTAGTTAACCACAAAATTGAATCCGGAGTTTATAAGCCTTTTGCACTGATGCTCTGTAGATCCTCAACCTAGCACATAACAAATCAGAAATTGAAGGGAGGGTGCATTCAATAATTGATAAATTCGCAGAACGTGGGCTTCGATCCCTAGGAGTTGCCCGTCAGGTAACTAATCTTTTATACACTTCATTGTCTCATGCATATTTTTTCTTTTACTGAACAAGTGGAGTTATTATTATTATTATTATTTTCCTGTTCTATTTTGTAGGAAGTACCTGCTGGTACCAAAGAAAGTCCTGGCGGCCCCTGGGAGTTTGTTGGCCTTCTCCCTCTTTTTGACCCTCCTCGTCATGACAGTGCTGAAACAATTAGGAGAGCCTTAGATCTTGGTGTGAGTGTTAAGATGATAACAGGTGCGTGTCACTGTTATTGCCTTGTTCTTTCTTTTAGCATTCACAAGCTATCTCATGTACATCAGTGACACCTTTTTTGTCCTCAGAAGTAATAAGCTAATGCATTTTGTATGGCATATCACTTTGAAACATTACAAGCTAGAAATAAGTAATGTCTGGAAGTCTACAGTGTCATCAATCATATCATCCACACTGTCCTAGCCTCACTCTGAATTTTAGTGATTTGGCCAACTTGTAGTATAAAGGCATGATATAACTAAAAAAATAATATAAGAATTGGAAAATCAACTGCTTTGTTGAATTCATCATGCTTACTTCATAAGTTTATATGTAAGCACCAGAAAGAAAATTGATCTTTATCATGGCACTAGGACAGCTCATTGTTGTATTTTCAGGAACCATTTTTTTTTTTTTTTTTTTTTGGTGAATTAATGACAACTATTTTAGTGTAGAATTCCCCATTTTTATATATTTTATTCTGAACGCTGAGAAAATAATTCATGATGAAATTTAACTTTCCTCTGTAACATGCACGCACATTAAGGGCAAAAAAAATACTACCAGAAAAGGATACAAGTACATAGACCTGTCTCTCGGAGATCAAATGCCAAATAATTTATGGATGTTAGTGTTTTTGATTCATTTGTATTCTAAATGAGGATCAACTACATGAATATCCTGTTTTGTAACTGATGTCCCAATGCCAATAGTGATGGTATCTGCTCTATATTCTAGCATCTCAATTCATATATATAGTTTCGTCCATATCATGGAGTTTATAAAATTTGAAGAGAATTAGTCTAATGGGAAGTGTCTTACAAGAATTGCCATTTGATATGAGCACGATTGTACCCATGCATCCACTTTGTGAATTCATTACTGAAAACCTTTGCAGGTGACCAACTGGCAATTGGTAAAGAAACAGGACGACGGCTTGGGATGGGGACAAATATGTACCCCTCTTCAGCTTTGCTTGGTGATAATAAGGATGGGACAATTGCCGCTCTACCAATTGATGAACTCATTGAGAAAGCTGATGGTTTTGCCGGTGTTTTTCCTGGTATATCTGGTGTTTATAATTTGTACCTGTTTATGTGATATCTATTTCCAAATTCTGAAATCATTTTCACATGCAGAACATAAGTATGAGATTGTAAGGAGACTACAAGCTAGAAAGCACATCTGTGGAATGACTGGTGATGGAGTAAATGATGCCCCTGCTTTAAAGAAAGCTGACATAGGAATTGCTGTGGCTGATGCTACAGATGCTGCTCGTAGTGCTTCTGATATAGTTCTAACAGAACCTGGGTTGAGTGTAATCATTAGCGCTGTCTTAACAAGCCGTGCAATCTTTCAGAGAATGAAAAACTACACGGTAATCTAATTAATTATGATTAAATTAGTACTTGTAGAAACCTGAGTAGTTATGATGAACCAACAATAATTTCTAAAAAGTCTTTATGTTTTTTTCTCCAGATATATGCTGTGTCTATCACTATACGTATTGTGGTAAGTTAGTTGAAACTGAGCTTGTTTAAAAAAGAAAAAACTCCTTCAATCAGTCTTTGTCTAATTGAGACCTGGTTTTTATATGACAGCTTGGTTTTATGTTGCTGACTGTATTCTGGAAATTTGACTTCCCTCCTTTTATGGTTCTTGTCATTGCCGTTCTTAATGATGGTTAGTCATACTAGTTCTTGACTCCTAGCATTTTGTATGGCTCTCTTTTGGTGACATTTTATACTTGTGTTTGTTATATTCTTCTTCTTGCTTCTTATCTGACTGAAGAGCTTGCCTCCAGGTACTATCATGACAATATCCAAAGACAGAGTTAGACCTTCTCCCGTTCCTGACAGTTGGAAGCTCAGTGAAATTTTTGCAACCGGGATTGTTCTTGGAAGTTATATGGCTTTAATGACTGTAATATTCTTCTGGGCAGCATATGAAACTAACTTTTTCAAGGTAAATAAATAGCAATCTACCTTATGTAATGCATCATACATTATAAATTTATAATCCTGCTGATTTTGTACAAGTCAAGCTGCATTAAAGTGATCTCCTTGGATACATGTCAAGGTGGGATTTTGGAAAGATGGGAAGAAGGTGATTTCCATGCATGTGTTGCATTTGTGGTACACATGCGTGCAATTCTGAAAATTGGGATTAGTGTACTTTACCTCTCTGGAAATCTGAACAACTTGATTGGATGAATTATATTATACATATCATATGTATACAATTATGGGCAATATTTGCCTAATTTCTTTTTTTTTTTCACTTGCACTTATAGACAATTTTTTTTAACGCATGCACTTTAGAAGACATTTCTTGATAAAAAAGGTTTACTTTCTATATTTCTGATATATAACTTCTTTTTTACAGAATGTTTTTGGTGTAAGGAACTTCAACCAGCACCATTATCATACTGATGATGAGAAAAAAGAACTAAAAGAAAAGATGGCATCTGCTGTTTATCTTCAAGTCAGCACCATCAGCCAGGCACTAATATTTGTGACTCGCTCTAGGGGCTGGTCTTTCACAGAACGACCTGGTCTTCTGCTCGTAACAGCCTTCATCCTTGCTCAATTGGTAATGTATTTCACTGAATCATCATTTTTGTGTTATTTCGATAGATTATTAAGAGAAGTTATATTGGAATCAATTAAAACATCAGAGGTTGAGGATTACTAAAGTAGTCTATCCATATTCATTGTATGAACCCAAGTTTATCCCATATTTTTCAATTAGATGCCACGCCTATACATGTCTATACAATTGAGTGAGGCAATAGTGTACATTTCCCCAGACATTATATTCAAAACTCAAAATTTTGAAATTTAATATAATTTCCAAATCAGTCATAAATAGTCTTTTATTATTCAATCAGTATATATATATATACACACACTAAATTTATAGCTCTTAGAATATTAAGTACAGGTTTATTGCCTGCCTTTGTACCACTTCAACCCAAAAATAAAAAATAAAAAATTATTTGGATAAAATACTGAAGTTTACATGCATACGTACAGGAGTATGGTGCCTAGTCCAACATAAAAATTGTTGCTCTAGGATTATTTGTTCATTATACATTTCCACGTATTTCACTAATTTTCATTTCTTCCTCATTAGTCATTCTACACCCTTATGACTTCACAGTTCATGACATTTATACCAAACATTTTCATTGCAAAGGACGAGATTTTTGTTCACAACACCAAGAAATGTAGCTATCACTGTTTTCTCTTATCCAATTGTGTGCTTGTGTGGATGCCTATTTCTGCCCACCTCCAAAATTTTAGCTACCATCTCTTATATCATTTTACTTTCGTTTTTGTTTTTTTCTTTCTTTCTTACATTTATAACCATAATGCTCATCTTTGCAGATTGCAACTGTGATATCTGCCACTTTAACCTGGAAACTTGCTGAAATTCGAAAGATAGGCTGGGGCTGGACAGGTGTTATTTGGTTGTACAATATACTGACTTACTTGCTACTTGATCCTATAAAGTTTGCTGTTCGGTATGCACTTAGTGGAAGAGCCTGGGGTCTGGTGGTTGATAAACGAGTGAGTGAAACAGAACTTTACCTTTGATGACATTGTGACAGAATATTTTGAATTATTAAAATTTCAAAATGTTACCATTCCTTCTAAATCAAATTAATCACAAAGTTTTCTCAACTGTAATTACTCCCTCAATTCTGATTTTTCACTTTAGGATCGCTTACTTACAGCAATTCCTTTTGTATTTATTTCACCAGACTGCATTCACCACCCAAAAGGACTTCGGAAGGGAAAAGCGTGAGGCTGCATGGGCTGCTGAGCAGCGGACCATCAATGGCCTCCGGTCTGTTGAGTCAAAGATGTTTTCTGAGCGTAGCACTTTTAGGGACATTAATCTTATGGCAGAAGAAGCTAAAAGGCGTGCAGAGATTGCAAGGTAAGTCCTGCGAGACACAACACTGTTCACATGATGCATATATACATGATTTCAAACATATTTGTGCTTTTGTTAGGAATCACCATGTAAATTGGAACTGGCTTTACGGAAAAGTTACTCCTAAATGCTTTTTTACACTCTAAACGAATCTTTGGAATTTTAAGACTACTCTGAGGAAACATGTGGAATATGCATTTTATGGGTTCACTGTATCACAAACTGGTTACATCTTATCATTTTAAACCTCAGTGCCGTTGTGTTCTATGCTTCTTCTGAACATTGTTCTTCTTCTTCTTCTTCCTTTTTCGCCAATGTTGCAGGCTGAGGGAGCTTCATACTCTTAAAGGCAAGGTGGAGTCTTTTGCAAAGCTGAGAGGTTTAGATATCGATGCCATGAACCAGCATTATACCGTCTGAGTGATTTTCTGACTGGAGCTTCACACTCTTAAAGGCAAGGTGGAGTCTTTTGCAAAGCTGAGGGGTTTAGATATCGATGCCATGAACCAGCATTATACTGTCTGATTGATTTTCTGACTCTTTTTATTCTCAGTTTTTCTCCTTTTGTCCCCTCTAAATGTCTTTCTTAGTACTTCCCAATTTTAGATGGTTTTACTTGGACTTGAGAATTCACAATGGTTATTTATTCTATATCTTAATATATAAGCACGTGTTTTGCAAGTACGAAATTAGTCTCTTCAGTGTCCTGGTTTGCTAGTTTGAATGCTGCCCCTCTCATCCTCTTCTTTTTGCCATACAATTATATGGTGTAACATTAGTACTCAACGCTAAACAATCACGGTTTCAGATTCAGATTTTTAGACCATGAAGATTTTGTTCTGAGCTATGTTTTATGGACAATTCAGAATGTTGCTAAATATGACAACACTTCTGCAATATTATCTCAAGCAGAGTCTGCACCTCAGACATGACTGAGGATCAAATTGCCAGCTCATGTCGGACATGGGTGAACCAAAACATCCAATGACACAAATCGCAAGGGTCCTCTGCAACCCTGAGTTGTAGACAACTACCATTTTGAAGTTCACTTGTTGCAATTATTAAAAACTTGGTTGATAATTGCGAGGATACAAGTTCAATTCTAAGTAATTACTTTGTGTAAAATAATCAATTGCTTTGAAGAGTTCTCTGGATAGGTATGCTTTTCTCACCGGTCAATTAATTCACTGAATGCAATTTTTTTTCTTTTCGTCTCATTGTCCTCTTCCTATTAAAAGAATCCTCGAAGTTCAAATCTAAGTAATTACTTTGTGTAAAATAATGTCAAATGTTAAGTATGTCTCTATTCTTTTTCTCTCAAATTTATGATAGACTTACGTTAAGAAGTCCAGCCAATCCTATTTCTAGCTATAAACTAATCCAAGGACCTAAGGAAACAAAAAGTAACAAAACCCTAATTCTAAATCATTGGATCAAGCATCACAAAACGTTTTTATTTTTTATTTATTTTATATATATATATATTATCATACATTTGACAATTGTGTAGGCAATGGTTCTATGAAGGGTAAAAATGTAAAAGTATATTTTATTGCTTTCCTTCCTTTTGGGGCATAGGGAAAAAAGAGAATGGTGGGCATCAATGAAAGCTCACTCCACCTTTTAATAATTACTTTTTAGGTTGAATTTTCCAGTATTACAAATTTAGCCCTTCCAACAATCTAATGTAACTAACTAAACGGCCATTGAAATACAAAGAAGCAAACTCCTTTTCCTACAGAAGAAAATGAAGGGTAGAGAGAGAAAGCAACGGAATTTCATTCAATGACAACGATGGAACAGAACTCTCTTTGGAGTCCAAGAGAGAGAAAATGCCTCTCTCTCCTCCAACAGAGGAACACGAGAGCCTCTGTCCTCCGAATCCATGCTTTCATGCTCCGAAACGCTCTCGAAACCAACGTTAACCTCCTCACCAAATTCATCACTACCTGCTCTTCAATTGCTGCCGTCGCAAGTCACCCACTCGCCGGAATCCACTATGCCCGCCGCGTGTTCGATCACATACCTCATAGAGATGACACTTATCTTTGCAACACCATGATAAAAGCTCATGTGAATATGCGTCAATTCGTCAAATCTATTACTTTATATCGAACTTTGAGGAGGGACACTGGTTTCACACCAGATAACTACACTTTTTCAACATTGGCAAAGTCTTGTGGTCTAAGTTTGGCCTATTGGGAAGGTCAAGAGGTACATAATCATGTAATTAAAATTGGGTATGGATTAAATCTGTATGTATCAACCTCGTTGGTTGATATGTATGCAAAACTTGGGAAGATGGTTTGTGCAAGAAGCATGTTTGATGAAATGACTGAAAGAAGTTCGGTGTCTTGGACGGCTCTAATCTGTGGGTATGCAAGGAGTGGAGATATGGAAAATGCAACTGAACTTTTTGATCGGATGCCTGAGCAGGACTCGGCAGCATATAATGTGATGATTGATGCTTATGTCAAACGAGGAGATATGAATTCTGCAATGAATTTGTTTGAGATGATGCCAGAGAGGAATGTGGTGTCTTGGACTAGTATGATTGATGGGTATTCTAATAATGGTGATCTTAATTCTGCTAGGTTCTTATTTGATGCTATGCCTGAGAAGAATTTGTTTTCTTGGAATGCGATGATTGGTGGGTTTTGCCAAAATAAACACCCCCATGAAGCACTGAATCTGTTTCATGAAATGCAATCTAAAACATTATTTGAACCAGATATTGTTACCATTGTCAGTGTTCTTCCGGCTGTAGCTGACTTGGGTGCTCTGGATTTGGGTGATTGGATTCACCGGTTTGTCCAAAGGAAGAAACTTGACAAAGCAACAAATGTTTGCACTGCACTGGTAGATATGTATGCTAAATGTGGCGAAATTACAAAAGCAAGAAGAGTTTTTGATAATATGCCAGTAAGAGAAACGGCTACTTGGAATGCTTTGATAAATGGGTTAGCAGTCAATGGGTGTGCCAAAGAAGCATTGAAAGTATTTCTCGAGATGAAGAATAGAGGATTTGAGCCAAATGAGATAACCATGGTTGGCGTTTTGTCTGCTTGTAACCATGGTGGTTTAGTAGAGGAAGGGAAGAGATGGTTTAAAGCAATGGAGGAACTCAGGCTTATTCCAAGTATTGAGCACTATGGTTGTATGGTAGATCTTTTAGGGAGGGCAGGGTGTTTGGAGGAAGCTGAGAAGTTGATTGAAAGCATGCCTTATGAGGCTAATGGGATAATACTGAGTTCTTTCCTATTCGCATGTGGGTATGTTAAGGATGTTGCAAGGGCCGAAAGAGTAATACAGAAAGCAATTAAAATGGAGCCGTTGAACGATGGGAACTATGTTATCTTGAGGAATTTATACGCTGCTGAAAAAAGATGGAGAGATGTAGAAGAAATGAAGGGATTGATGAGGCTAAAAGGGGCAAAAAAAGAGGTCGGTTGTAGTGTCATCGAGGTTGATAGTAGGGTTTGGGAGTTTGTTGCTGGGGATAAAAAGCATCCAGAGTGGAAAATGATACATTCAGCCTTGGGACATTTGTGGATGCAGATGAAAGGACAAGGCACTTTGTTAGAACTGGAAAACATCATTGATTTCTGGTGAAGCTCATGGCAAAATTTCAGCTAAAATGAATTACATTCTAGTAAAGTTCTATAATGTATCATATATGTGCACTATACATTAACCTAAAGATCCAACAGAATTTGACTACATTTGAATATTTGATGATCAAATAAAAAAAAAGTGCAACATTTAATTTTCCAATCAAGTTTGTTCTACAGGGAGGCTGATTAAAAAATTATGAATGATTAGTTTTGCCCGATTGCATGAGGAATTGGAATCCTTTGTTCAAATGGACCTAGACCTGCTATCTTTTTTAACACTTCCAAGTCGTATATTTTTTTTTTTCCTAGTTAATCTCACACACCCCCACCCCCTTCTAAGGAATTGTTTGCACTTAGAAGGAATCGATCTTGAGACCTAATGCTTTATGAAGCACCAGGCCCAAGTCTTTTCCAACCAGACCAACCCCTTGGGATTTCAAGCCAGTATATTCTTGTTATCTAGTGCAGAAAAATCAAATTGGAGCAGACTCGACTGAATATCCTACCCTTTTGAAGCCATAGCTGCACTTTTTTCCCAATGGATACAAGAGCAAGTTTTACAATTACAATGGCATCTCAGGTAATGCACAAAACTGTTTATTCAAGAGAGGTAGTTATCAAAATGTAACACTTTGTATTTGTAAATTAGACCTATTTGGGTCGATGCCTACCGCTGTAGCGTGATTTCTGGTGAATGAGCAATTCTGAGATTTTTAACCGAGTTAATGAATCATGAAACAAATAAGAGTTTGTTAAGTGGGTTCTATTTCCATAACTTGTGGTTTGCCGTATCTGGATATAGCCTCCACATGTCAAAGAACCCATATTTTTGGCATGAGAGCTGCAGGGAAATTTTAAAAGTGCAATAAGAGTAAAACTTCAGTACGCAATCTGCCTTATGACCATAGGACCAGTTCTTGGCTATCGCAGTTGAAATGAGACTTCCAAACGCCTATTATGTGGAAATTTAAGAAGTTTCACATTGAAGGCTGCAGAGATGCATCAAATTCGTAAAAGCAATATATAATCGAGATAATTCATCAAAATTTATATTACATTTCTAACAACCATTTGGAGAGCCAATAAAGATCATTTCTGTACTTAAAAGAGCAATATACTCGATTATATACCATTGGGTATCCAAATGAAACAGTACTGTCAACAGCAACATAAGTAGCACGTACGGATTTGATTACAGCTGAAGCACAATTGACTACTGTGAGAGAGAGAGAGAGAGAGAGAGAGAGCATAATATGTACAGATTTTCTTGCGCCATGACAACTCCAGCAGACGAGAAACAACCAACTTCCTAATAATGGGGCTAACCTGAAGATTTCCGGCTCCACCTCCCTGACCCAGCCTTCCGTCTACCTCGCTTTCTCTTGTTCTTTGGGGCAGTAAGCTTGGATATGGAACGAATTTTTCGCGGTGGCTGATCATCTGTGGGAAGGTCCAGTTCTTGAGCAGTAACTTGAGGATCAGTGCTGTCTTGCTCTTTCTTTACTACCTGGGGCTTCTCTACAGGCAGAATTTTAACTTCCTCAAAGTTATTCAGTTCTTCCTGGGCTCTCTGATTATATAACAAAAATCCATCCTCGGCCTGCATGTATGAAGGATAAACTAATCCAAATGAAAAATAAAGTACCTTTAATCGAGATATATTCTGAAGCTTCCAGAAACACAACTAAATTACCATGTATACAGTAAAATAAGTACAACATCACCGTTCAATCAGAAGCACCATACTATTTTGTATTCCACTAATAATACAACATCCTTACAAGAAAAGCACTTTTGCATAAAATTAGAGGATTTACATGGTTCGGTTCAATTCAACAGCCAAGCAAATAGACATGAACCTATTAGAAGGGAAAGGAGAGAGGAGCACCAGAGTACAAGGAACTGCACCGTATGTACGAGTCAATAGTAGCATATGCATGTAAAACCCATCAACAAACAAAAATTAGCTTGAGGAGACTTTCACATATGTGCATCAGAGATATCATTGACAAGAGAGGAAGACACCTCGAACTACAAACTCCAAGTCACAATAAAACTCTTACTTATGAATACATATATCTAAAACCATTCTGTTTGGACCAATAAAAACGAAAAGGAATGCCACATTATTGTGTTACTGAGCTTGTTGGTTAATGCAGTCATAATGGTAACCAGTGCTCAAAACCCACAGGAGGCAAAGGGATTGGTAATTTTAATAATCATGGAAAAATAAAAATAAAAAAAACTTACATTTTTGCATAAACCCCCAACCAGAGGCTGATCTGTGCTTTCAATCATATCAGGAAGATGGATCACCTCTCCATGACTTGAAACTGCACTTTCAGGCATAATCAGATCACCCATATCGTTGTACTCAGATATAAGCTGAGATGCAATATAAGAAGATCCTACTCGCATTCTGTTGGAAGGAGAAGCAGGATTTTGGGAAGAGCCAGTCAATGCATTACATGGCACAAGCAAGCTAAGGTTATCAGCGGATGAGAACCTTCCAGCATTTTCACTCATTACCTTGTCAATTCGGGTCTTTAGCTTGCTAACTTGAGTCTGTACATTTCCAATTTTCCATAGTATTTGTTCCAAGGAATCATCACCATACTTCAACTCAAGCGATAAGATTTCGTCATTAGCCCCAAAATCATCGTTGCCATTGATTGCCTTATCTGCAGAAATCACTGCTGGAGAAAAAAGTTTATTAGAACACAAACCCTTGTAAACTCTACGAACACACATCATGTCTACCACATTAATCTTAAAACTATTTTTGCAACTTCAAGGTCTTTTAAAGTTCAGAAACTTAGAGAACAACACAAATTATGCCTAGACATATCAAAATCTCTAACACAAATTATGCCTAGACATATCAAAATTTCTCTTTCCAAAAGCATAAATTGGAAGTATTCAGTTATGTATCCGTAAAGTCCAATCTCAAAACATTTTCACAGAACTCTCATAAATTAACAGAACATCATATATGAAGAACAGACACCACAGGACCTCGTCTAAGCAAAATAAAACCATGAAAAATAAATAGCATTCACTTATCATGGATTCAAACATTCTACAGCAAAAAGTAATAGCTAAAAAAAAGAAGCTTTCAATCTCTCAAGTCTATTCCTATAATTGCTCTTTTGTTTCAAGTAGGTCAGCCGGAAGTCTTTGGTGCTCTGTAAGAATTGCTGGGCAAGCGATAGTTTCTATTTAGATTTTGGTTTGGGTTTGGAGGAGGGGGAGGGGGAATTGCTCTTTTTGTGTTGTCATGAGTTATGAGATTTAGGCTTTCTATATTGTTTTTCTTTTCTCTTCTTTTCTCTTTTTCTTATTTATTTTGTGTCTCTGTTTGGGTGGGTGGGTGGTGTTGTGTGTGTGTGTGTTGGGGGGGGGGGGGGGGGGGGGGGGGGGGGGGGGTGTGGTTGGGTTTAACAATGGTACGACGTCATCCAATAGACGTCGTATCACCAACTAATTAAAGCTCTTACACGGAACCCACTCAAAACATTCAAATGCATGTATCATGCATATAGATGTGTTCCACACCACATGTCAAGATATAATTGGATGGCGATAACACATCTCCTTGATGACGTGGTAACCATCACACTCGAAGTCATCTTGTGTACATCATGAATATAGGGGTTGTACCTCCTTGGCACCTTTAATGACTGTTTATACCTACTACCGGCAAAAAAGACCCAACATCGAAATATTGGTGCGATGGTTTTAGAACAACAGAAATAATGGAAACTTCAGTATCTACAAATCAATAAGAAAATCACAAGGATCAACAAGAAGACATGTTTAGATATGATGAAGAATGGATTTGAGGGACTATGTGAAAGGAAATAATAATGTGGCATAGGAGCAAAGAGACACCTTGGTACATTGCCAAACTTACAATACCAATCTGTTCAACACCAGTAAAAAGATAGTTCTAAAAGGGAAACAAAATGAAATCAGAAGGTAAAGAAATTCTTACTCAAGTAAGAAGCGCGAATAAGCCGAACAGTACTACAAAGTAATCCAGAAATTCTATTTCATTCTTAGAGAATAAAATTTCATTCCGGATGCTAACAATCTCAAAGGTAGAATTCCCACATATTAAGAGTGAGAGGGAGCAACATTACCATAAAAAAAACTTTTAAGCAGTCCAACTAACAGCTAAGACTTTAAAAGAAAACAAACACAATATGGAAAGTAGAGGCTATCTGCTCCCACATGTTGCGTCCTGCCCTTATTGTTCAGCTATATAAATTATAACACAACATGATTCAATCTCCAAAATAAAGGCATAAAGCAGAGTGCTCACTCCTTACCTAGATTACCGCAGTGATCATCCATAGAAGTACCACTGGCAGCAGACCTCTTATTCTCTGCAATATACCATTTATCAGGTGAATGAAAAAGCAATGCACAAACCAGGACATGAAAACCCAGAGAAGAAATTTGTACCATAATAAGAGAACAGGTTATGGCGTGACATATAGGATACTACATCCATTGTCTCCTCAACTCTTTTTCTTTTATTTCTTCTCATGAATGTTTTTCTTCGGCTTTGACTAGAGAATGGCAGTGACTTTGCACCAAAATCTTCTAAAGAAAAGTTCTCTAGATCAAACTGCTTTGCCTGATTATATTCTGCAAGTTCCCTATCATACTTAATTGCTTGGGACTGAAATTTCTTAATTTGCAGTTCGACCCACTTACAACGCCACATAATAGGTCGTATATAAGTACGCCAATGAGATGTCAATTTTTTTTTCCTGAAAAATCAAAAAAATGCATAAATCAAATTCATGTGGCATATTATAATCAGTAAAATGGAGTGTAAACACACAAACACAAACAATGACGACTATTCAGGAAAAGTAAGATGAGTATAAAATTAATGTACTGAACTACTGATAAATCATAGAGGAGGTAATTCCTTCAAATAATAGGTTCTGTTGTTTAAGTGAGAAAAAGAATAGCAGAAAAGTATTCCTAATTTCCTAGGCAGTGGAATAATTTTGTTGGGAAGAGGATTATTGTGTGTACCACAGTTTGTGTACCAATCACCCACCATTGCCACATGATTTGACTTCTGTTAATTCAGGGATTTTTTTTTTTTTTTTTTTTTTTTTTGATAGTGTTAATTCAGGGCTTTGACAAGACATAGGCTGTAGGGAGACTATCTCTACCTCAAGAACGACTGTCTCGTTTTCTCCAACTCGAGATCTCCACCTTATGCCCTTTACACCAAGACCTCTCTCTACAAATCTTTATTTCCCTTGCAGGCTTATTCTATACCTCATTCTCTTAGTTATGACTGTTGACTGGGACTAAATTGCACACTTCTCAGGCCTAGCAGTCTGTCTCACATAACAAATAATCCTTGGCTTTCTCTGATTACATGATCTCCAATGGGGCCCCTAATCACAAGGACCTTCTCCCGACATGTAAGACTTATTGGAGATATTAATATCAGACCAACTTCTTCCCTGAAATAAGCCCCGTCTACAAGGGCATCTTGTCATGTCTCTCCACTAAATATTTCCTCAAATTTTGAAACTGAAAAAGGCAACAAAATGTATATCATAGACAGCCTGGGTTTCAAGCAAGATTCGAGGAGGCATATAATGCTCGATCCGTGGCTGACATGTCATTTCCCATCTAGATGTGGATGGATATGGCACAATCCAATAGGAATGCATGATTGACTAATCATAGCCAACTTCAGGGTACGCAAACATGGCTGACCCACTAAGATTCTAGGTGTATTTCAATTGGTAGGTTTATCAAGGTGACCCCATCTTGAAGTCTATAGACACCTCAACTTGATGAGAGAGAGAGAGAGAGAGCATTTGACTCCCAGATGACGTGTCCTTATACGTGCAACATTGTTACATAACACATCAACCATACATAGTCCTTGAGGATAGTAATAAATAAATAAAAAGAAAAGGATATATAGTCACTATCCAAGGTGTCACCACAAGAATGTGGAGGTATCCTATTGCACCATGATGACGCTTATAATGGAAGCTTGCTGATTTGGCTACACCCCGCAGTTGAGTCCTCTATCTTATACCCACAATGCCACCTCTATTTTATTCTACTCAAATAGGCCCAGTACATGTAATAGCATCCTGTTGGCTCACAGTAGAGGTGAGAACAGTGACCCGAATAGACCATCATGTCATGTAAGTACCTCCTTGTTCTCCTCAACTCTAAAAAGATACTCTTCCCAGACATAGGCAGGAATAAGACTGGATCCAGACCTTATCTCATCTACATCACTTCACTTAGACCTCAAGATTATCTTATCCCAAGAGAAATCCCATTTGTAACTTAACGAGCCCTAAACTTGAGGACTATCAAAAACCATGGCTGCCACTTTCTCTTTCTTTGGTGTGTCAACCTTTCCTAGGTTAATCCACCAGGGAATTCTAAAAGATTGTGTATAATACCTTCTCTCTACCATTCATCACCTCGAACCCACAGATAGGAGCAGAGGGAAGTGGGGCTTAGGGGGAATCTTCCCCCCCCCCCCCCCCCCCCCCCCCACAAAAAAAAAAAAAAAAAAAAAAAAAAAAAATTCTCAAACTCTATTAATGGCAATTATTTATAGTTATTAATGGTGATTTTGTATAGGAAAATTAAATTTAGCCTCCTATTTTATTTTTTTTAAATTCCCATTTATAGTTACGTATCTATGGTAATTGAAGGTGGTTTGCGAAAGAAATTATTTGTGACCCCTTCAAAGTGTCTTGCTCTTTTATGATTTAAAGAAAGAAAGAGAATCATCGACCATTGACAACGTCATTTATCTTGAGCAATCTTCTATCCATTTATTTTTCTCATACAATTTATAGACATGCTCTTAAAAATGTAATTAAAAATACACCGAAACAAAAAACGCTACAATTATTTCATTTTATCTTTAGATTTAAATTTTTAGATTATTACTTCGGCCCCCCCAAATGAAAATTTCTGGCTCCGCCTCTGCCCACAGAAACAATAAAATGGAAAAATCATCAAGGAAGTCAAAATATGATAAGGTTATACCATAAACAACACATCATCACATCACTACCGTCAAAAAGTCTTGAATATATTTAATCAAGTGAAGACAACAAGAAGAAATGCTTGATAGAAGAAGCACTAATTGAATAAACAATTACCCAGGTTCATGAATGACATGAATTGGGGAAAAAAAAAAAAAAGGTAATGCAGCAAAGTTACATTTTTATATACACAAATTAATATGTAATGCGTAGGATACGGATAAGACACGATACACAATGCAGCAAATCTGAAAAAAAAAATAGGATACAGGTATGAATCTAAATGCAATCATTAATATAACATAAGAGTTCGTTTCACAAAACGTAAAACAAGATGCCTAGTCATCACTTAATATATTTTGAACTTCTCTTAACAATAATATTTTTATATTATTGTTAGAAAACTTACATTTTAAGTTCAGAACTTGTTAATAATGTGTTTGAAGTATCTGAGAAACATCAGATACGTGGTCGAATAATATGAGAAGTATCGGATACGTGTTAGAAATTAAAAAATATATTTTAAAATTATAGAGACATTAAAAATTATCGGACACGTATCCGCAAGTATCCGAGGAGTATCGGTATCCCTTACCGATACGACGCCCTTTTATATCCGTACTTCATAATTTTCAAGAAATGGGTTTATGAGGTGGATGCAATCTAAAGCTCTCGCATTGGCAGGTAAACAATTACACGGTGACCAAGTATCACACCGCCATCCATTAGTAAAGCAAAATCTCCTTCTCAAAATTCTTTAAACACCAAATTAAGTAAATAATAGGATTATTAATTTGTACATTCAATAAAGAGGTATTTCCTTTTGTTGTTTAGTCCTCCTCTCCTCCCCTCTCAATATCTTTCTCAATGTTCTCTTTGATGGCATATTTGCATGCCCGCTGGCTTGTGCAATAAATTTCTTAGTTTCGTCAATATTAATCCTCCTACTTACTTAGTATTGGTAAGGTTGTGCAATAAATTCCTTAGATACTCAACGTTAATCATCTGAATCTCTTAGTAATGGTATGCTTGTTTGCTTTCGGGTACCTTCACGGTCTTCACCTCAAGCACCAAGCACGACCGATTGACTCTCACAAGCTGATTCACGTCACAAGGATGATGGTTCTTACATATGATTTCGTAATTTATTCAGAAGTAATTCGCGAGATCATGCACCTTTCTTTCCTAGTTATAACAGAAAAAGTAAACAACTCGCACACACTCCCTTTCCAAAAAAGATCAATACACCAAGCACTATGCTTACATTTATTGGATTTGTTGCTAAAATATCGGTATTAAACCCAAAACTCCCAGCGGATGGCCAGTGGCCCAAGGAAAAGAAAGAATCTGTTACATTTTTCATATGATCTCCTATTATAGATAGATGGTTCGCGAATCAACTTCCATTTCTTCGAAAGAATTTATTGAATTAGATCACAAGAACGAAAAACCAATAGCAACTACCATCGACACCATCTAGAACTACCATGTCATCCTAGCACTTCAAGCCAGCAGCTGGATAAGGAACTTCAAGAAAAACTTCGCTTCACACTAACAACAATATACCCCGCATCGCGGGATCCCCCTTCAGAGTCTACGCTCTCGTAAGGGCCTATCAGGAAACTCCCCAGTCAGAAATAGGTCCCCTATCAGCGACTCGGTCTCAAACTTCGCATTAGATTTTCTTAATCGAATAGAATCTGCATAAAGGAGGGATTCATTTTACAGAAATCTATTCTATCTCCCCCGTAAAGTGAGCTATAGTTGGGAATCCCACTCCTCGAAGGAGTACCAATCTGAATGTTCCCTCACAAGATTCATTCGAAGTCATTTCAAATGAATATTTAAGGCTAGGATAATGACCCAAGGCGGGCTCGAGAAAGTGGACAAGAGAAAGAAGATGTCCATGAGCAGGTAAAAAAATTCCTAAAAATGAAAAATACAAACAGCAACTTTTTCTTTCATGAGATCTTTTTGGCATGTTTGAATTTGCAGGAAGATCCATGCTTGAGTATGTTTGATTAAACCCTTTGCACAGTCAAATATAAGAACTTGAGTTAGCTCTCCTAAAACCATTATCAAACATCCATTCCCATCACAATGCCAACCCCAAAATGGAAGATCCTAGATGTTTTTTCTTGAAAAAGAGGGTAATGCCATATGCATGTGTGTGGTGTGTGGGGAGAGAAAGAGAGATAAAAAGAGAGAAATGTAGTCATATAAATGAAGCTAAAGCCATCAAAACTGAAAATGTAGAATGAAAAGGAGGTTTGGGTAGAACATTTTGCTCACACAAATCTTTTTAAAAAAAAAAAAAAAAAAACAGTGCCAACAATTTGATCAGAAGTTTCATATTCACTTAATGACATTTTGAGAATAATTGTAAATAGAATAGAAACGGCCTCTTAAAAGAAAAATAAAAGGCAAAAAATTAAATAGAGGGATTAGATCTTCAAGGGATAATATATTTTCAGTTTTTCCAAATTTTTCACTACTACCATTTGAACAACAAAGTTCAACAAATATGCAAGTTGAGGAAACAATAAAAATAAACATGTTGTAGAAATGATAAAAATAAAAATAAAAAGAGTGATAACCTCATTCGAAACACTTCACCACATCCATCAAGTGTCAATGATGATGTAGCATCACCACATAATTCTGACTCAAGTTCAGCATCATTCGACATTGTACCATTCTCGCCTTCAGAAATGGTGCCGCCAAAAGAGCTTGAATTCTCAGTTGCATCTTGGCCTTCAACTTCAACCGGCACAATGTCACCAGAATTCCTATGCTCAATTATGTTAAGATCCACATCCTTATTTCTGTCCATTTCAAAGGTGTCGTCTTCATAATTAAATGCACACCTCATATACTTATCTTCTGATTCTTTCATGACATTTCCATTTTCCTTACTTGATGAAGCTTCCATAACCATTCCTGATCTTTCTGTGAGCTCCAAATCAGGACCCATATCAAACTATAATGCAACACATCTCATTTTTTCAAACAATTACCCTATAAGTCCTATATAGTTCATCTGCGGCAAAAGAATTTTGCTGAGAAACAATCTCAAACAACATCAAAGTTCTGTCCAATTTACCAGCGGCAAAATTCACCTTATCCTGATGAAAAATGTCAAAGAATGGATAAATAAATCCAAAGAACTTGTATTACAAACCTGGAAAAACCAAAATGTATACATGACTTATAGAATTTCAAATTATAATGAATATTTGGTCCATAAATTTTACAGGAACAGATAAGCAGATTTTTATTAACACACCATCCTAACATGAAATTATCCCAAAAGGAAAAAGAGAAAAAAATTGAAATAAAATAATTTCAATGACTGGTGTAGGCCTTTGTCAGAGACTAGAGAAGAGCCACAAAGATATAATCACTAGTTTAGTTATATTTTAAGGTGCCGTCCATAATCATTCATCCTCGTCAGGATTTAATCATTAATTTATTAAAACAAGAAGGTGAATTTTCTTTTTTCTTGTGGGTGGATATAGATTATTAAGCCCTTATTTCTTCGAAACCCAACAGAGAATATACTAAACTAATTACTTTTAAAGAAATCCACCAAGAATAGACATTAAAGTGGCTAAATCATTGTTTGTTCTTTACAAACTCAAACAAATAGTATCAACATGTTGTCAATATTAACATGGTTAATTATAATCTTTAAAATCATATAAATTATTATGTAGAAAAAATTCTCCCCATCCTTTAGCCTTGACCACGGATGAATTGACAAAATACATATACGATGAGTTCTATGGTGTATGCTATTTGCTAATATATTGTTTATATAAATGAAACCAAACAAGGGACAACAGCTAATTATAAGTCTGGATAAAACTCTTGAAACATTAACATAAGTAGGACTAAAAATACACATTATGAAATTTTAACTTAGCAAAAATAAATAAATAAAAACTAAGGATGTAATGAAAAGTGAAAATTAAGAAATACTAAGAATTGAACAATTTTTGTTACGTAGGCTAAATTCAGAGAGAATGAGAAAATTGAGATGATACTGCTCATAAATTAAAGTAAGATGGATTAAATGGTGGAGTGCTTCTAACACAAAGACCAAACTAAACAGAAGTTAAGATAGCAAGGGAACATGTGATTTATTGAGTTGAGAATTACTAGAGTTATAATGACTCACTGTATCAACCAATAAAATTTAATTACTTACTAGAATATTTCAAGATCTTAATACGAAATTTCAATCAAATTCGATACAAAACCCAATAGAAAACATAGATTATTAAAATAAGGCTGCAAATTGCCTCTTGTCATCATTTTTCAATATGCCCTTTACAAAGAAAACACATTCCTACACAACTAATAAAGATTATAAAAAGGTTTGTATATGGCCACAGAAACTAGGGTCCGTTCTACATGTGAGATGAGTGAGTTCTTTATAAATGTAGGATTGCACCAAGGCTCCGTGTGCGTGTTGTTTGCCCATATCTATTTGCAAATGTTAGATGAAATCACAAAAGACATGCAAGAGATATCCCATGGTGCGTGTTGTTTGCTGATGATATAGCCCTATTGGGCACTTTTAAAGAAATCCTAGCAATAAAATAAGAAATGTGGAGGAACGCCTCAGTCAAAAGGATTGAAAATTAGTAAAGTTAAAACAGAGTATATAGAATGTGAATTTAATAAAATAAAAAATAAAAAAATAATAATTTTGGTAATAATGATCACACCTCAAAACCAAAGGATTACTCAAAATAAAATAAAAAATAAAAATTTGGGATCGATACTACAAGAGAATGGAGAGATATACAGGGATATAACTAGTAGAATTTAAAATCTTCAAAACTCAACCATGAATAATTAAAGGAATATAAAACTATGCAAACCCCAAAGATGAATAAAACAAGAAATACAAGTCCCTTCAAAACCCAATGAAGAATATAACAAAATAAGTTGAATTACAGAAAACCCACAACGATCAACCTTTAGTTAATTCTTGAAGACATATTTCTCCAACTCAAGTTAAAATTACATATTCTTCTAGCCACCCCACATGAATTTGATTGGCAATTATCTTCAGAACCCTACTGAACAACAAAAATATGGGAAAAAATAACTCAAACCCACTAGAATTAGCCAACAAATGATCAGTGAAGTTCTAAACCCTAAAATCAGAAGAAAATCACAAACCCTAAACCCTAGAACAAAGAGCAGGTCAAGAAGAGAGAGAACTACTACCTGGGTGTTTCAGCGTGAGAAACGTCGAACTCGGTTTGCTCTGGCTGGATCGGTGAGAGAAGCTAGAGGACAGGAGACAACCAGCGTAAGTTAGCCGTGCCGTTACCGTGGGTTTATATAGATATATATATAATACACACACACATATACACACGTGTAGTTTCAATTTTTGGGCAAATATAAGTTGGGGTTTGTTCAGGGATATCGACATGAGCTTTCCTAATGATTTTTAGGCTGTCAACTGTCGATTGGTCAATCTTTTTCTTTATTTTTTTTTTTTTTTTTTGCACATTTATTTATTTAAATTACACCCCCTGTCAATTGGTTGGGTTTTCTCGTATTATTATAGTATTAGTTGTCTATTTTAAGAAGTAAAACTTTTTAAGAGAAAAATGCAATTACTGTATTGTCTTTTTTTTTAAATTAGCGAATGCATTTATATTGTTCTTTAAAATTATTAAATTATTCTTGTAAGTTTAAATAAATATATTTCTAATTTGAGATTTTTAATAAATTAAAGGATAATAATGAAAAAGTAGCTGACTTTTTAAATAAAGTCACTAATTTAAGACATTCCTAAAAAGAAAGATATATTGTATAAATTTATTCTATGGTGATTATAAAATCACAAATCACAATAGAAAAGTATATATCGTATCAATGTAGATGCGTACAAAATATATATATATAATTTTATGTATAATATAAAAGAATATTTTATTTCTATGTTCAATCTTCTTACAAAAAGAATTACGACAAACAATATGAGATTTCTAATGCATGAATAACCTTGGAATAAATTAGTCATTATATATCACAATACTTAAAAATAAATAAATTAATTAGTCATTATATATCACAATACTTTTTATAAATATATATATATATATATATATATATATATAAAAAAATTAGGCTGCGTTGCAAAATGTTTAATAAGTATTGAATATGTGATCAAAATGTCTTATAAGTATTAGATAAGTGTTTGAAATTAAATATATATATATTAAAAATTTTGATATAATATTTAAGAATTATATAGCATATATTTGCGATTATCTGAAAGTATTATTAATTATTACACAATATCAGTACATTTCCTTACGGTTTGTGCTTCATGCATATTATGAAACACCAAATGTGAATATTAGAGCGTGATTAGAGTTTTTTTTCTCCTTTTTCCCTTTCTTTAGTTAATACATGAAAAACTTTTGAATAGTTAATTTTCTTTTATATTTTAAATTTATTTGTATTTTATATCACACCATAGATTGATGAGATCTATTTTATATTGGCGCACAAAGTCGTACAACTTGATAACAAACTTCCATTGTGTATATATATGACTCAATTGTAGTAATTCACTAATGGCCTCGAGTTAAAATGAAGCAGCAAGTCATTAATAGTTGTTTGACTTGTCCAATTCAAAACAGGGTTATGTCAAACATGCACTGCTACTACCTTCTTCTTCTTCTTCTTCTTCTTCTTCTTCTTCTTCTTTCTTTATTTATTTTTTATTTTATTATTATTATTATTATTTTTAACAAACCTAGGGGTGCAGAGCCTCGCCCCAAGGATACACCGGATAAGTCGGGAGTGATAATGGAGGCTAGCAAGATTTGAACACTGGACAATAGATTAGATCAATTTATGCTTTTGTAACAAAGCATACTCTAAATACCCTCTCTCTCAAAATATATATATATATATATATATATATCTATATTGTGATGTTTTGGCCTGATTACTCAACAATTCGGTTGAAATTTTTTTATTTGTTTTTATTCATAGGTCGTGGACCCTAATTAGGGTTCATTTGTAACTTAATATGTAAGGGCATTTAAGGTTTGAATTGGAAGTAAGAGAGTGAACACTGAAATTCATACATAATTGAGAGTGAGGAGTTAAAATTTTTAATTTTTAATTTTACAGGTATTGAAAACTTTCATCGAATTTATAGATGATAATTGATATAATGCGTCCGTGGAAGTATAAATATATATATATATATATTTTTGGTTAATTACAATGACACCCCCTGAGGTTTGCTATAATGACAACTATATACAAGTTGAGTCTTTTTTGAACGATGACACCCCTTTAGGTTTGATAATGTTAACAAAGGTACTCCAATGGTTCTCACACTTGGTGAATTGACATTATTGTCCTTTGACTAATTTAATTACCAATTTATCCAATTTACCATTCTTTATTATTTACCAAAATACCCTAAGTAACCCTATTCATACTAATAAACCAAACATCCACCCCCACCACCATTTCACAGCCCCCATAGCCCCTTTTGTATCTCAATCTCACCAAAAGCTCCACAATCCAAACACCCCCAAACCCCAACCCAATTTCAAAATTTGTGCCACCTATGCCACCGGCAAGGGCAAAAGGATTGTAGTTGAGACAACTACAACCTTTGGGTTCAAAATTTTGATGGAAACATTCACAATTGATGAGATTGGTCGGGATGAGAGAAGATTGGTTCGCTTGGAAATTCTACAAGTCTTTCTCTTGGGCTCCGGCGACGATGACGACCAAAGTGATGAGATTGGACTTCGGTGATGTGATTCCGGTGTCGGTTGGGTTTATGTGTGTGTGTGTGTGTGTGTGTTATAGGTGGCATAGGGAGAGAAAAAGGTGAAGGCAGCGGCGTTAGGGATCTGTACTAAAGGTCGGAGGTGTCGATGGCGTCGTAGAAGAGATTGTAGCCGTTCAATAGCTGGGTTGCGATCACGTTCTCGAGTTCTTACACACAATAACTAGTGGTGGAGGAGAAGTGGTGGTGGCGGCTGTGGTGGAGAAGTGGTGGCGGCGGCTGTGGTGGAGAAGTGGTGGCGGTATAAGGAGGGAGATGATGGCGGCGACTGTGGTTGGGGAGATAGCTACAGCGGATGTGGTTGGGGTGATCCGGCGGCGACGACTGATGTGGAGGAATGGAGAGAGGTGGGGAACGTTGCAGTGGAGAGTGAGGGTGGAAGTTGTGGTGGTGTAGGACCGTAGGAGAGACGGCGACTGTGGTTGGGGAGATAGCGGCAGCGGATGTGGTTGGGGTGATCCGGTAGCGGCAGCGGATGTGGTTGGGGTGATCCGGTAGCGACGGCTGATGTGGATGGGGCAACGGCTGATGTGGAGGAGTGGAGAGAGGTGGGGAACGTTGCAGTGGAGAGTAAGGGTGGAAGTTGCGGTGGTGTAGGACCATAGGTGGGTTTCGATGGTGGTTATATATATATGTATATATATATATATGTCTTTTTCTTGATTTTTTTGGTGTTTTCTGGATTGTTTCAACTGGGATGGTGTTAACCCATCTGGGTTATCTTTAACTTTATTGCAATTGATCTGATGGTGCTGATGTAATAGTGTGTATATATATATAAGGGCAAATTTGACTTTTCATGAGTTCTAATATTTTATCATAAAAATGAATTAAACATTGAAGGGCAAAGTAGTCTTTTACAGCATTTTAAGGGCATGTTTGGATAAAAATTCTCACAGTGTCAAAAAAACAGTTAAGTTATATATGATTGTCATGATGTCAAAAAACGCACGTGGGACTAGTTACCGAGCCGGATTGGAAAAAACCCGTGATAAATTATCACACACATAATGAAGATAATAGTTTCCAACCAAACCAACATAATACTAATCTTAATGTTGGACAGTAATGTAGACAATACTACAAACAGGATAGATACATTGTTCCTCGCAAATGTGAGGTATTTTGAGAAGTCTTAGACCGAACTAAAATGAAAGACGGTACAGGAATACATTCCCATTTATTTGGTCACTGGTTTGCGTCGAACTGGAGGTACGTACTTGCATTAGCTCAACCGGATCGAATCCTCCACTGAATTTCATCAGATTGATGACAACGACATGAAAGATGATTCCACCATTGAGAGTGAAATAGACCCGTTTATGTATGGTACAATATATGTTTGCATGTCACTGAAAGACATATTTGCATGCTCTCCCGGCACACTTAAGTATGTCACCTTTCCGGCGTCATCCAAGGTTTTCAAACCGATCCAATCTTCCGTGTACAGACTTGTCTGGATTATTGACATAAAAACAAGAGAAATATGTCAAGGTTAAAAGAACAAATATCCTAAACAAAGAGGCAGCATTAGTTATAATGTTTTATATATATATATATATACAATGAAATGAACACATTACCTGGTTTGCAGGCAAAACAGTGTCCTTAGACCCATCTGGATAATACCAAAACCAGGAGGTTTCTTTAGGTACCAAAACACTGTCTTGTTCATGCTGATGCAGAATATATACAGAGAAAAGACATCACCAAAATGAGAGCATTTTCCGACTTCAGAGATAGAGAACAATTGAAAATTATATACACAATTCCGCGAAGATTCTGAGGGAAAACAAAAAAGATTTCTTTAACTTACCATGATAAGCACCAAATTGTCCAAACTGGTAAACCGTTCCCTGTAAGTAGAGTTTCTACTACCATTGATTTCATTGTTAAGCTTTGGAAGAAACTTACATCCTTTCAAATACCAATCAATTTCCTGGGAAAAAGAAATCCTTGTGCTGGATCAGCTCTTAATATTGTAGGATCAATGTAGTTGTTGATGTCATACATGAAAGGTTGTGACGACAATCAAGGAATGAAATACATTCAGAAATAAACATCATTTGACCTAATAAATCAGCATCCCTAGAGTAGTATATACTTACGGTTGGAATTTTAATAAAACCTGCAGGTGCCGATATATTCTGCAATCACATCAAATGAGGTAATTTAGATGTTATGTAGTCTTAATCAAGAGAAAAGATCAGCAAGAAAGAAGACAAAGAAACCGCGACAAAGAGGAATGAACCTGTTCTTGAATAAGAAATTTAGAATTCAAACGTCATACTTCCTCTCTCCCACTTTAAATGTCGGCTTCGGGACGGCCACAGTCGCGGTTCGCGATGCCGACATTTAAAGTGGGATGGAGATAGTATTACCAAAGAAACTCCTATTGAAAACCCTATTTTGTGAAAAAATGACTTCCCATCGTCACAAAAATGTGTGAGTTGCGGTTCCCGAAACCGACATTTAAAGTGGGACTGAGGTAGTATTACCAAGGAAACTCCTACTGAAAACCCTATTATGTGAAAAAATGTCATGGAATGGTACAATCTAAAGTTCTAGATTTTAAGAAACTTTAAAAGAGAAATATTGACCTGTACAAATTCGGTGTAAACCCCCAACTTCAGGGCATCATTAGTGACAGAGCACGCGAAGTCTCCAAGCTACAGACACATCAAAGGAGGACTGCAATTAATAGGATGATGTACAACAGTAGAAGAGGAAAATGTGCATACACACTAAATAGTAATTTAAAATTCTTCAATCAAAATTTTCTTCATTGGTTAAAAGATAACTACCGTGTTATTCACAAGACAAGGAGCAGCAGCTACCCCAGCCTGAGGACCTCCTACTGATATGTAATTCTTCACCTGTATTGAATATATATATATATATATATATATGTTACAAGAGAGAGTTCGTCTCTGTTCTCTTTCTCAAAAGTCTAGTTCTTGAAAATTAGTAAATTAGAGATCCTATCAAGTTAGTTCTTACAGGAGGTGCTCCGTCACAAAACTCAATAACCCCTCGAGCTACCATGTTACCCTGTAATAGTTAAATGTTCACCAATTTGCACAAATCATTAAAAAAAAAAACAACACAAATATTATCAGTTTGATATTATATAAATTGCATTTCATGAAATGAAGTGAAAAATCAAAAATTGCAAAACCCCCTTCTTTGTCACCTGAGAAATTGCAACTATGTTATAACCATTACTGAGTTCACTCATGCTCTTGACCTGTAAATCGAAGAAAGTACTACTCTGAGTTTAAAATAAAAAATATATATATATACCAAACTTCAAATGTCATTCTCTCTCGACAGTTTTAACACCTTTTCGCAAGCAATTGCAGTCTGCAAATTTGCAAAACAAGAAGTGTGTTAAGAAATAATACTAGTAAATCATATATTAGACATCATAATTGACAACTCTCCTTGCACTAACAAGAAAAAATCACCTGTTGCGTAAGGGGCTTAAATATGGTATCCATGTATCCATTTCCAATTTCTCTACATGTGAGCCAAAAATATCAAATAATTAAATTCCTATTTAATTTCTTACTAATTCTACTCACGTAAACTCTGCTCTCCTCCACTTCAGGTATTACCTTCATTGTGCAGGGCATAGAGTTATATAATAATAACTTACGCAGACTTGAATTATGTAAGCATTGTCTTAATACATACAATACATAGTAAGAACGTACACACAAAATCCTTCAGCACCGGACCATTCCTTGAGACTATCAGTGAAATTTGTGACTTTAGCACTTTTGCACTCATCTACAATACCTGCCATAATATTCACAAAAAATAATAATAATAATAAAATAAAATAAAAATAAAGGTAAATATACGTCTACAAGCTAATCTGAAAGCTGCTAACCTGTTTGTTTGGACATAAAAAAGAATTTAGGTTTTGTTTTTAATTTTTTTTGATGTTCGGTTGTCGAAATTTAAATAAAATATTACTAAATAAAATATTTTATCAAAATCTAACCATTTAATAACTCTTGTTTTTGTTATGAAAATCTTTTTTAGAAATTTTGTCAAATAGTAAAAAATATATATTTAATAAAAAAATTTAACTTCAAAAACAAACAAGTGATGGGTTAGAGACAATCCTTAAATATCTTAATCATCAACTAACTACATATAGTAATATTGGAAAATGGCAAAATGCGGAAGAATATTAAAGAACTGAAGCATTACAAAAGAAATTGATATCATTGTCAAAGAACGTGAAAAATATTAGAGGCGTCTATAATTTATAATTATAAATTTTATATATATATATATATATATATATATATATATATATAATTCCATGAGATTACCTATTCTCGTAATCCACCACACAATATTTTTATTATTTTTTGGAGTCCATAATAATAGTATTGGATTTCTTACAGTCTTTCAATCCACATACATATAAAGTCAATTTTGAAGGTGTCATCGACTCATTGTAGAGATTTGAACTTTTAACCCTTATAATATAAGGTGAGAGTCTTGTCATTAATTTATTTCTTAAAGTTGAATCGCATATATAATTACGTAATCAAATAAACCATTTAAATGCAATTTTTATAACTTATATTCCATGTTTATCAAAGAATAATAGAAATTAATGCTAGGTACAACAGCATATAAGTATGTGAATTATTTTGAAAAGATTAGTAAGTATTAATTCATGAGCTAATAAATATAATTTGCTAATAAAGTAAAAGTGATCAATAATTAAAGAAGTAATTGAGAAATTAAGAATAAGAATTAAGATTGAGTACCATGGAACACCACAAAAGGTAGAGGTTTTGTGGTTGCTATGACAGTGAGAGTGAAGATGAAGATGATGGTGAAAACAGTATTTGGTAGTACTGTTACTGGGTTAGTAGCCATTGTTTTGGAGAATAATATATATATATATATTTGAGTGTCTTTGCAACAATGTGGAAGTTGCAGGAGTGAAGAGAATGAAGAAGCTACACATGTATATATAGAGGGAAACTAGAGAGAGAAACTGGAGGGAGAATAATGGATTGATACGGTTGGATGGCCTGAGGCATCGCTGTCAAGTGAAAATAATTAAAACGTTCATCAGATTTGCCAGAAACAAAATAAAATAAAATGAAAAATAAAAAATAAAACATAAAACATAAAACATAAAACATAAAACTTTATTGATGGTGACTATTCCATCGCGATATTCCCTATGATAATCACAAATGAACACCAAAAATATCGTTACACATATAGGGGCAGAACTAAAACTTTAGGTAAGGGGGAGATAAAATTAAAATTTTGTAATAATTTCAAGAGAAGAATTAATAATATTTTAAGGGTATGTATTGAAAAAAAAAAAAATTTGTAAGAACTTATGCTACGTTTGGTGTGCAGGAATGGAATGGAATGGAATGGAATGCTCATTCCAACCATTTCTTTTTTTGGTATGCAACTTAAAGTGGGAATGGCCATTCCAATGGAATGAAAATCCATTCCACAACTAAACCTATGGAATGACCATTCCATTCCCAAGTAATTTATTTTAAAAAATCAACTTCCCAAAACACCCTCATATTCCAAATCCATATTCTAAGTCCAAAAACCACCATTACCTTCCATATTCTAAGTCCAAAAACCACCATTACCTTCCACTACAATCATCTTCGTCTTTCACCACCACCACCACTACCACTGCCTTCCACCACCACCGATTTTCACCATTGCCCACCACTTTCCACCACCACCACCGCCACCGCCACCGCCTTTTACCACATCTACCACCACCGTTTGTCACTACCACCACCGCCGCCTTTCACTACCACTACCGCTACCGCCACCACCACTGCTGCCATTGTCTTTCACCACCTTCCACCACCGCCGCGGACATCGCCTTTCACCACCTTCTACCACCACCATTGCTACCGCCTTTCACTACCACCTTCCACCTTCCACCACCGTCACCGCTACCGTTACCGTCACGGCCACAGCCCTACACCATCACTGCCACCTTTCATCACCACCACCACTGCTGCCACCTTCCACAACCACCAACGCTGCCGCCATCGTCGCCGCCATCGCCTTCCACTACCACCATCGCCTTCTATCACCTTCCATTACCACCACCATCACCACCTTCCACCACTGCCACCGCCACCACCACCACTGCCACCTTTCACCACCACCACCGCCACCGCCACCATTACCAACACCGTCGCCGCCTTCCACCACCACCGCCATCGTCACCACCTTCCACCACAACCACTACAGCCACTGCCACTGCCATCGCCTTCCACCACCACCATAGTCACACCATTATCTCCTGCCACCACACTACTGCCACCGCCTTCCACCAATACCACTACCACCTTCCACCACCACTGCTGCCACCAATTTCCACCATTACCACCGCCGCCGCCTTCCAACACCACCACCTACACTACTACCGCTTTCTACCGTTCACCACCGCCACTGTCACTATTTATTTTTAAAAAATTATTAGAGAATTTCATTTTATTAATTTTATTTAATTTATTTGTTACTAAGAGGGATATTTTGAAGAATTCAATTAAAAATTTATTCCATTCTAAATTTTAAATTGGTCCAACCAAACACTATAATGGTTATTATCATTTCATTCCTACACATTTCATATTTACAACCAAACAATAGACTGAGAATGACCATTCCATTCCATTCCCATTCTCATTCCATTCCCATTTACATTTCATTCCATTCTTGCACACCAAACGTAGTTATAATGCACTTTTCTCATTATCATATCGCCAATTTAATCATATATATATATATATATATATATATATATATATATATAAACTTCAACCCAGAATAGGCAGGGCGGACCTATATGGAGATCAAGTGGGGCATGGCCCTCCCCAAATTATTTATTTATTTATTTATTTTTCTTTTGACAAATTCCAATTTTAAAGGAGACCTAAAAGGCTAAAACTGTTGAAATTAAAATTACTGAAAACTTTACATACCTAAAACATATTAGGCCCCTCCAAGAATTTTAAAAATCTCCATTTAACAAGGGCAATAGTTGAAACCAAATTATATTAAGATTTACTTACCAAAAAAATTCCACAAAGCTAATAAATAAACTCAATTTGGAATCTTTTAAGTTTATTATTGAAAGTGTTAAAAAAATAAGTGCAATTATTTTTGAAAATCCACATTCATAAATATTTGTGTATATATACATAAAGAAGATAACCCAAAATTTTCTTCTCTTAATTTGCTTTAGTATTATATATTGAACTTCAGATTTTTCTGTTTTTTTTCTGTTATTGTCTGCTTATATATATATATATATATATATATATATATATATATATATATATATATATAATTAGACATAAATTTGAAATACGTACTTTTTTGTTTATACATGATCTTATCTTAAATTTTTTTATTAAAATAATATAGAATTAATACTTAATTTTTTTTGTTTATGCATGGGATTTTTTTTATCAAACTTTTTCTCTCAGAAAACAAATCAAAAAAATTTGTTCACCTTTAAGTTCATCTTAAAGAGTATTTTGGTTAAGTAAAAATGAAAAGGAAGAGGAAAGGAGGAGGATGATATATATCAAAAAGGAAGGAATAAGATTATAGTGTTGAAATGCTTTTAAATATATATATATATATATATATATATTTGAAAAAGAGAATTAAAAAACAAAGAAAAAATTTATTGTTGGATAAAATATAAATTCAAGAAGTAATCTAGACCTACAAACAATCACAAAAATTTTATATTTTATGCCCGTCTGTTAGGATGAAAGAAATTTAGAAGAAAGGAAAAGAATAAGAGATAAATGAAACATTTATAGGGAAGATATTGTGTCATTCTTTTTTTTTTATTAAATAAAAAATAAAATAGGAACTAAGGAAGAAAAGATAAAATGTTAATTATATAAATATATATATATATATATATATATATATATATATAGTTTAAAAATATATATAATACTCTTGCCTTTCTTTTTTAGTATCTTTATGATAACTTGTAAAGGCAATCATCCTCTTTTCTCTCTTGTCTCGTTATCTTAACTAAAAATAAATTGGGTAAAGTACAGTCACACCCTTTGAGATTTGGCAAAAGAATACTCAAAGAAAATTTTTCTTTTTTTTTTTTTTTTTTTTTTTTTTTTTTGATAAAAACACCCCTGAAGGTTCAAAAATGGAAAAAGACACCCCCTTTATATGAGAAACTGACCAAATTACCCTTTAACCGTTTAGGAGACTTTTTTAATTTTACAATTTAATAAATTGGACCAATCTACCCTCATGAACAATTTATGCATAAAAAAAAACTTTATATTGTTCACTTCTTTTTTTTTGTTATTTATTTTATAAATGTCCCAACTTCTTAAAAATGTACACGTCTAAAATAATTTTTTGATCCAATACATATATTTCAAATAAATTATATTTTGTTATTACTTCTTTTCCTTTTCTTTTTCTTTTTTATTTTTAAATTAAGATACTTAATTCTTTCATATAAAAAAATTAAACCAATCTCTTTTCCTTAAAAATAAAAATATGGTACCAGTATAACTTTATGCATCTTAAATTATATATCAAATATTATGCATTTCTGAAAATAAAAAGGAAAAAATAATAATAAAACAAAGAGGAAAAAATAATAATAAAACAAAGACATGCATAAAGTTAAGATGCATAAAGTTATACTAGTACATATTTTTTTTTATGTTGGAAAATACATAATATTTGATATATAATTTAAGATGTATAAAGTTATACTGGTATCAATATTTTTTATTTTTAAGGAAAGGAGATTGGTTTAATTTTTTTAAATGAAAGAATTAAGTATCTTAATTTAAAAATAATAATAATAACAAAATATAATTTATTTAAAATATATATATTGAATCAAAAAATTATTTTAGTAAATTTTTTCTAAATATCCTTTTATCAAATTTAAAAAAGTGTGACTATAGTTTACTCAAATAAATTTATTTACTTTTTCAGGGTCTTCTTTTCTTCTTACCCAACGAAGTATTATTTAAGGTTTTTCTCTCTCTCTATTATTTTCCTCCGACACCCACCACGATTGAAATGAGGATTAAGTTTCTTCAGATTCAGAAGTTCTCTTGTCGTTGTGTGTGTTCTCATTATTTTGTGTTGTGTGGTCACATCCTTTTCTCTTGTCTTGTCGTGCGCTCTCTCTCTCTATCTCTCATTTCTCTTCCTTCCTTTTTCCCTCCAATTCCTGGCGTTTTTCTCAAGGCTTTAGCCTTTCAACACAGAAAAAATGCCCACGTGAATAAAGCTTCTGACGTCAAGTTGCTTTGGATTTGGAATTTAAAACAAGACATGTCTTCCGTTTTTTACATTAACTTTTAGATATTAATTTCCCTTTAAAATAATACTTGTGATCTTTAGTTTTAAGATAAAAGAGGAGTGATGATTACAATTATGCAAGTCATTGTTTATTTATAGTTGCAGTTAAAATTAACCAGTTTAAAATACATTAATTATTTAAAATTTTTATTTTTATAAAATTCTATTAACTCTTTAAACAAAAATACATTTTTAAATTATTCTTATTTCTTCTTTTAATCGATTCATATAAGTAAGGATAGGTGCATATATGTGTGTATAATAATAATAATAATAATAACTAATGTGATATGAATAAATGCTGAAAAGAGAATAAATAAATAAATGATTAGATAGGATAATTCATTCACAAGAAATGAATCCTAAAAATTAAAAAAAAAAAAAAAAACCAAAAAGAACGAGATAGGTTCTGAGATTTAAAAAAATATATATGCAAAATTAGTTTTATATACGTATATATTTCTTTTTTGGTTCCTTTCCGTTTATTTCCTTTTTAAAAAAAAAAAAAAAAAAAAATCCATTTATACAAAGATAGTTGTAAAAATAAAAAATAATATATATATTGGAAAAAACAAAAAAGGAAGAAATATATAATTCATTTTTTTTTTTACCTTTCTTTTTATTCTTCTTGGATTTTTTTATCGCTTTTTTTTTTTTTTTTTTCTTCCTTTTATTTTTTTTCAAATCCATCAATCTCTTATGAATGAATTATCCTATTTATATATTTTTTTCTTTTTTAAAATCCATTCACATAACTAACCACACATGCTCGATTAAAAGAGGAGAGAGGATGAAAAGAAGAAAGATTAGATAATATAAAAGAGTATTTTTGTCTAAAAATTAAT